GGTAGCAGATTTGAGCCGTCGCCAACACGGACAAAGTGCCCGTGTCCATACGGTCAAACGGTTCGACACCAAGTCCCTCTACTAAAGAGAGGTCCCAGGTAGTGGGGTATCCCCTAAAGACTCCCTTGATCCACCGGGACCAGACTGAAGCCGTTGGTCATACCACTCGGGCCGGCTTCGGATGAATTATACTAGGACATATAGTCCTTGATGGCTCCTACTTCCTGTAAACATCCTACAGGTGTCATCATAGCCATACCGCAAACCCTACGAACGCGCCCTAGATACAACGTTTAGAGTATGCGGTGGTTATGGTAATAACCACGACCGGACTCGAAAGCCCTGGAAGAGCTATACCCATAACCTTGTCTCTCCACCCAAGAGACAGTATAATACATTCGGGGGCGGTGGCAACAGCCTCGTCCTCGTGTGGATCCGGTTCAGCATAGAATCTGGCCTAAAGACGTTCAGCCATCATCCTGCGGATCGAAGCTTCACGGAATCCACCGTGAAGCCCAATCTAACATGCCTTTTCACTGAAAAGACAATAAGAGCAGTGGTTTCTCATTGGCGCCGAAGCTCCCACTTATCTGTACCTCTTATATATTTTTACCAAGTCAAGCTCAATAAGGTCCTATTTCCTTGCCGATTCTACCAAGTTTATTAACTTGGCTATTATTATTGTACTCACCAAGTACAATAATCATACATGTAGTATATTTGCTAATTTTTTTTTGTTATTTAGGCCCGAAGGCCAGGAAGAGAATCGTAACCACAGTTCCCCATTTAGGTACAGTGGTGAGCCGTACCATCCAGATTCCTCTCTCTACCACTCCTATGGGTAGCAGATTTGAGTCGTCGCCGACACGGACAGAATGTCCGTGCCCATACGCTCAAACGGTCCGACACCAAGCCCCTCTGTCTAGTAGATGTTCCAGGTAGTGGGGTATCCCCTAAACTCTCCCTTGTACCCGTCGGAAGGAGTCTAAAGCCACTGCTCATGCCACTAGGCGCCAGCTTCGGATGCATTATACTAGGACTTGTAGTCCTTTATGGCTCCTACTTCCTGTAGGCTTTCTACAGGTGTCATCATAGCCATACCGTAGACCCCACCAACGCGCCCTAGATGCAACGTTTGGAGTATACGGTAGTTAGGGTAATAGCTACAACCGGACTCGAAAGCCCTGGAAAAGCTATACCCGTAACCTTGTCTCTCCACCCAAGAGACAGTATATTACATCCGGTGGCGGTGGCAACAGCCTCACTCCTGGTCGGTTCACCTTTAGCAAAAGTTCTTGCTAAGAGACTTTCAGCCATTGTCAGGCTGATTGGGGCCTCACGGAATCCACCGTGAAGCCCAATCCAACATTCTTTTTCATTGAAAAGACAATAAGAGTAGTGGTTTCTCATTGGCGCCGAAGCTCCCACTTATCTGTACCTCTTATGTCTTTCTATCAAGTCAAGCTCAACAAGGTCATATTTCCTTGCCAATTCTACCAAGTTTATTAACTTGGCTGTTATTATTGTACTCACCAAGTACAATATTCATACATATAGTATATTTGCCAGTTTTTTTTTTTTTGTTTCGGCCCGAAGGCCGGGAAGAGAATCGCGACCACAGTTCCCCCTTCAGGTACGGCGGTGAACCATACCATCCGGCTTCCTCCCTCTACCACTCCTACGGGTAGCAGATATGAGCCGTCGCCAACACGAACAGCACGTTCGCATCCATACGCTCACACGGTTCGACACCAAGTCCTCCTGTAAAACAGAAGTTCCAGGTAGTGGGGTATCCCCTAAACTCTCCCACATAACGTAACAACAGTCAACTCCTTCAGCTCCCTACTGCCACTTTCTACTCCTGTTCACTCCGACGTCCTATCTCCTCGTCATCCTTTCTACTTGCCCACGCCTTCCCCCAAAACTCTCTTCCTCTACTCGCACAGCACCACATCCCCCTCACCACATCCACTTCACCACATCCACTTCACCACATCCACTTCACCACATCCACTTCACCACATCCACTTCACCACATCCACTTCACCACATCCACTTCACCACATCCACTTCACCACATCCACTTCACCACATCCACTTCACCACATCCACTTCACCACATCCACTTCACCACATCCCTCTCACCGCATCCCTCTCACCACAGGCTCCTACGCTTACATCTGCCTCTTTTCCTAATAACATTCCTCCCTTCCATCATTCCCACCCACAACCGCCCTCTCCTCTTCGTCGTTTCCACTCTCGGTTGCTGCCATCTGGGCGTCTCGTCGTCTGGTCTTCCGGTCTTCCGGTCTTCCAGTCTTCTGTTCATCCGGCCACAACGCTACTCCTACTTGTCATGGATTAGTTATTACCATGACAGTACTTGTTCGCTATTGGTCTCTTACCAAGCTTTAGTCTTTCTGTTCATACTAGCCGTTATTAGGGGAATCCTTGCTAGTGTCTTTTCTTCCGCTTAACGTTTCGGTCCAGTGGGTATTTCGACTTATTTCAGGTCGTTTTTTTTTTGTTTCTTTTTTTTTTGTTTTTCTTTTTTTTTGTTTTTTTTTAATTATGGCTTTTAAGCCAAGGTTCATTATTTTATGTGAACCGTTTTTAGGTGCGCATATAAAGCTAGCACCGGCGTTTATGGGCGTTGGTGATTTTCATAACGCTTTCTGTTATCAGCAACAATATTATCCTAGCAATGTTTGCTTAAGATGAGTATTTCAGTATTTATATACTGATTCTGTTTGATCCATAACCAAACATACCCGAACGAGCGAGTTGCTTTACGGGTATGCGGCTATGTTCACTTTTAGTTTTGCCAGTCAATTCAGTTCTTCAGTAAGATTTTGGGAGTCTATTGAGACTAGCTTGGCCTTTTAACGATAGGCTATTTTTTAAATCCCAAGGTGCAAGACATATCACAGTTTTTTGTTAGACTACCAGAACAACGTAAACGTTAAACTGTAGATAACATTAGCAATGGCTCTTCCGTAAGATTACGCACAGAAACCTTGCTACATACCTCAATTCCCAGTACGAAATAGTTTTAAAAGAGTACCCAAGCTTATTAGCCATGGTTATATACTCATTAACTATGTCAGTGTAGCGCATGTGCGGCCCAGAACATCTAAGGGCATGATAGACCTGTTATTGCCCAACATCACCCTGCTTAGCGCAGGCAGTATATTTAGGAAGACAGAAAAGCCGAAGCTTGACCCAACTGAAAAGGTGATTTTTCAATCCTTTTAATGTGTGTACCAGCTGAGTTCCCCCGTGTTGAATCAAATTAAGCCGTAGGCTCCGCTCCTGCTGGTGCCCTTCCGTCAGTTCTTTTAGATTTCATCCTTCATTTTCGGGACCAGACCCTGATTCCCTGCTACCCATGGTAGACAACGCAAGCCTCTATCTTACAGTCTTAATCTGATAGGGCAGAAAATATAATAAACCATCGCCAGCACAAGGCCATGCGATCACCATTGAATTATTATAAATCACGAAAAAAATGGCCTTCACATCAAGCTGGCTTTTACCCAATAAGGGTACCCCTTCCAAAGTCGAGGTTTTCGTTGCATGTATTAGCTCCGAAATTACCACGGTTATACAAGTAGTAATTACTTATAATGTTCATCATAACTGATTTAATGAACCTTTATTTCCCTGATCCAAATCCAATAAATTGAATCTGTAGATTATTAGCAGTACAAAGACTACCGCCCAGCAGATCGTCCCGAAAATTTACCGAAGCAAAAGTATACGGTTTGAAATATGCGCCGGGAGACCAGTAGATGTTTTTATTAAAGAATAAAATCTCTGCTGATCCGAGCAAAAGAGGCGCCAGGTAAAATCGGGAAAGATATACCCCACGCATAGTACTCTCTGAGAAAAGATTTTTGAAAAAACTCCAAAATTAATTGTTGTTAAGATTTCAATCATCTTCTCTCATACATATCATAGGGGGGTCATTAGTAGTCTCGCCAAAGGTTAAAAACGTTTATTTACACTTTTCAACTTTTTTTTTCTGGGATTGAATAATTAAGAGTGAAATTAAAATATAAATTCAATTTGTTCCAAATAAGGAAACGAATTGGTCCAAACGGTTCGCCCTCAGACCGGTTAATACAAGTTTAGATTAAATCTTAACCGGTTGTTACCAGTTGGCTTAAATTTTCACCTGAATCTATCCATTTGGCTCTAATGCTCACCGGAATCTATCCATTTAGCTTACATGTTAACCGGAACCAATTTGTTTAGCTAAAATGTTAACCGGTTGATACCTGATTAGCTTGAATGTTTACCGGAACGTATCTATTTAGCTAAAATGTTAACCAGTTACTACCAGATTAGCTTATATGTTTACCAGAATTTATCCATTTAGCTTACATGTTAACCGGAACCAATTTGTTTAGCTAAAATGTTAACCGGTTGATACCTGATTAGCTTGAATGTTTACCGGAACGTATCTATTTAGCTAAAATGTTAACCAGTTACTACCAGATTAGCTTATATGTTTACCAGAATTTATCCATTTAGCTTACATGTTAACCGGAACCAATTTGTTTAGCTAAAATGTTAACCGGTTGATACCTGATTAGCTTGAATGTTTACCGGAACGTATCTATTTAGCTAAAATGTTAACCAGTTACTACCAGATTAGCTTATATGTTTATCAGAATTTATCCATTTAGCTTACATGTTAACCGGAACCAATTTGTTTAGCTAAAATGTTAACCGGTTGATACCTGATTAGCTTAAATGTTTACCGGAACGTATCTATTTAGCTAAAATGTTAACCAGTTACTACCAGATTAGCTTATATGTTTACCAGAACCTATCCATTTAGCTTACATGTTAACCGGAATTACTTTGTTTAGCTAAAATGTTAACCGGTTGATACCTGATTAGCTTGAATGTTTACCGGAACGTATCTATCTAGCTAAAATGTTAACAAGTTACTACCAGATTAGCTTATATGTTTACCAGAATTTATCCATTTAGCTTACATGTTAACCGGAATTACTTTGTTTAGCTAAAATGTTAACCGGTTGATACCTGATTAGCTTAAATGTTTACCGGAATGTATCTATCTAGCTAAAATGTATACCGGTTACTACCAGATTAGCTTATGTGCTTACCGGAATCCATCCATCTAGATAAAACGTTAACCGGAATCAAATTATTTAGCTATAATAGAAACTGGTTACTACCAGATTAGCTTATATTTTAACCGGAATATATTTATATACCTAACATGTTATCCGGTCGTTACCCAATTAGCTTAAATGTTGACCAGAGTTCATTTATTTAACTTAAATGTTAACCTGTTACTACCAAATTAACTTAAATATTAACCGGAATATATTTACCTAGCTAACATGTTAGCCAGGTGTTACCTGGTTCGCTTAAATGTTGATCAGAACTCATTTATTTAGCTTAAATGTTAACCGGAAGCAATTTGTTTAGCTTAAATTTTGACCAGAATCCATTTGTTTAGCTTAAATGTTAACGTGGTACTACTATATCAGCTTAATTATTAACCGGAATCAATTTATCTAGCTAATATGTTTACCGATTGTCACCAGTTTAGCTTAGATATTGACCAGAATCAGTTTATCTAGCTAAAATGTTAACAGGTTCCTACCAGATTAGCTTATATTTTAACCGGAATCAATTTATTTAGCTAATATGTTAACCGGTTGTAACCAGTTTAGCTTAAATATTGACTAGAATCAGTTTATCTAGCTATAATATTGACCAGAACCCATTTATTTAACTTAAATGGTAGCCAATTACTACCAGATTAGCTTAAATATTAACCAGAAATTATTTATTTAGCTAACATATTAACCGGCTGGTACCCAATTAGCTTAAATGCTGACCAGAACCCATTTATTTAACTTAAATTTTAACCGGTTACTACCAGATTAGCTTAAATATTAACCAGAATACATTTATCTAGCTAATATGGTAGCCAGTTGTTACTTGGTTAGTTTAAAGTTGACCGGAATCCATCCATCTTGATAAAACGTCAACCAGAATCAATTTGTTTACCTAACATGTTAGCAAGCTGTTACCAGGTTAGCCTAAATTTTGACCGGAATGTATCTACCTAGCTAAAATGTTAACCAGTTACTACCAGATTAGCTTACATGTTTACCAAAATCCATCCGTCTAGATAAAATGTTAACCCGAATCGATTTATCTAGCTAACATGTTAACCAGCTGTTACCAGTTTAGCTTAAATACTGACCGGAATCAATTTATCTAGCTAAAATGTTAATTTGGCACTACAAGATTAGCTTAATTATTGACCAGAATATATTTAGCTGCTAACATGTTAACCGGTTGTTACCCGATTAGCTTAAATATTGACCTGAATCAACTTATTTAGCTTTAATGTTAACCTGGTACTACCATATTAGCTTAACTATTAACCAGATTATATTGATCTGCTAACATGTTAACCGGTTGTTACCATATTAGCTTAAATTCTTACCGGAATTAATTTGTTTAGCTAAAATGTTGACAAGATTCCGTTTCTTTAGCTAAAATGTTATCCAGAATTATTATTATTATTATTATTATTATTATTATTATTATTTTATCTGAAATACCAACAGGAATCAATTTGTTTGACTTAAATGCTAGCCGGTTTATACATGCTATACTTAAGTGTTAACCGGTCGCTACTATGTTATCTTAAATGTTATCCGGAATCAATTTGTTTGGCTTAAATATTAACAAGTTAATACTTTTTTAGCTTAAAGTCTAACTGGTTGATACATATATGATTTAAATGTTTACTAGTTCTTGCTAGTTTAGTGTAATTGTTATGCTATTGTCACCATGTTAACTTAAATATTAGCTGGAATCGATCCGTTTGGATTAAATGTTAAGCATAAATGATCCATCTGGCTCAGATGTATATCACAATTGACTTGTTATACCAGAGCGTTGTATTATTATATACTTTTATACAACCGGATTTTCAATTAGGCAACCGATCTACAGCAATACAGGTAGTAACACACAGAATCGTATTTAATCCCCCACAGTTAAGTCTCTCCTGGTAGCGTTGATGTGATCTATCTGTATGGTTCTTCCAATGCTTTGGCAAAGCCAAAATTGATCAAATCCGCTGGAAATTTTAAGCGAGAATACAAGAATAGAAGTACGGCAGAAAGATAAGTAGCTTTTATTAAATAATCGTCTTTAAACCTGCGCAATAATTGAAAATATCTGTTTTGGTTTATATTCTACTTTTTTGTTTAAGCTATATGTTCTCTAATTATCTTGTGAGAAAAAGTGAATCACATCGGCCGTCGTTCTCAAAAGAGAACGTTGTGTAATTGTTGTCCTGGTCGGCTAACACGAATTTAGGCACGATAATATAAGTAATTGTAATATTTGGCAAAGGAGGTAAATAAAGGATTTCAAGAGCGATGGAACTGGGGAGGTCCGACTCAAGAACGAGAATTCGACGAGTGGTCTGAAAGTGTGAGGAGGAGGGGAGGTGCTGGGTGCTCTGGGATGTAGCTGGTAGAGGTTGTCTTTGGTGGTATCGTGGTTATGGTTCACAGGGATGGGATAAACGGTAACGTGGGCAGTCTTTATGATTTTACTCAGTACTGTCAACAATCGTCTCAACGAAAGGTGGCTCTTATTTCTCTATTCTCGCTCACAGATCTCTCAGGACGCCCTTTTACAACAAAATAAAGGAAAAGAACTGATTTTATTAAGATGGTCAGTGACCTTGAATCTTATCCTACGTCCTATAGGTGGTACAACAATTTAAGGATTTGTGCAAAACCCACGTCTCTTCCTGCCGACAGACTACTGAGGTCCGAACCGGAAAATAGTCTCACTATTCTACATAATGTTCAAGGATCTCGTGCTTAGTTTTGGTGATACAATTTCTAGTGACTTCTTATTAGAGTATCTCCAACAGCCAGCTAACTTTTATCTTTTGTAAAGCCAAACACTGTCAAGTTAGCAAAAAAAAAACTACATAACAGTTCAAATTATCTTTTTTTTAAAAAATAAATTTTGAGGGCGTTTTCAGGTAAAACTTTTGAATCCCTGTCAAATTTAGCAGAGAGATAAAAATTAAGAGCATCTTCAGCAGTCGGCTAACTTTTATTTTATCTGGGATCAAAAATTATCACTTTTACATAAAAAAAAGCCACTCCACCCAGAAGTTTAATTTTTCTCTTTTAAATTCCTGTCAAATATAGCAGCTAGATAAAATTTAGAGCATCTTCAGCAGTCCACTTTATCTCCACTTTCACATTGAATTTAAAGATTTAGCTAAAGTTTGTCCTCCCAGCAGTTCGATTAAATTCACTCTAAATATAAAAGACAGTTCCTTTTCTTTATCTTCCTATTAAATCTGATAGGAAGATAAAATTTATTGATGAAAACGCTCTCAAAATTTATTTAAAGAAAAAGATAAATTGAACTGCTGGGAAAATTGATTTTTTCTTTAGCTAAAGTAGCGGTGTTTGACTTTAGATAAATTAAAGGTCATCTCACTGCTGAAGATGCTCTTATAAATTAAACAACTTGGGCTGTCAATATCCTTGACTTCCCTCTCGAATAGCTGTTGGCAGCTCGAGGTCTTTTGATGAATTTATCTCCGCCATATTGTGAATACTATGTGTGACATGTTAGAATATCAAGATTTACAGCAATTGTTTGCCAGGGCACAAGAAAAAGGGAGGTGAAAGTGTTGCAATGGGTATGTGTGTATGTGGATGGATATGAACAACGTCCTTTACACATCCATTGATGTTTTTCTTAATTATGGTATTTTTTTGTCGTAACTAAAATTTCTATTGGCTAAATAGCATATAGTAAGATTAAACACGTTAAGCCTCAGATTTGGGCGCATAAAATAATGAGACATGTGGCAGAAAAAGTTTAAACATATTCTTTGAGCTACTTAATTAACTTTTATTTGGGACAGAACCTTAAGATGGGTGGGAGAGGAAATAGATAGCTTTGAAAGAGAATATTTTATTGGACAAGAATTTTTTCTGTTGAGAAAAATGCACTTTTTTGACAAGTCATTTTTCAGTCAATATTGGAAATGTTTACCAACATCCACCAGAACATGCCAAACTTTGGAACGTTAAGAAGTCTGCGGCTACTATCAGGTACACGGGTTACGTGGATATCGACGGCCTGGATCACCACGACTTCGTTCTCATCAAACTCATAGCAAGTTCTTTAATGCATAACTTCAATGTTGCCGTAGGGATCTGTTACTACATTACGAGAGTAGACGGTATTGGCATTGACGCTAGGTATCATTTGATACTCTTGCATCATGAACGTCTTTCTCACTAATCTGTTTCTCTCATCTCTGAGAGCTTCAATTGAGACCTGGCCAAGGAACCATCGACCATTTTCCTGGAAAACACCTGCCAATGTATCGCGCAAATTTGGAATCGATGAGCCAGAGTTGTCGCTGTTAGCACGGGAGCCAAAGAAGTGAAGATTGAAAGCTGGGAAATCAATGGGGGCACATTTGATAAATTCACTAGGAACATATCTTACGGGTCGTGTTCCGTTACCAACTCGCTTCTCTACAATGTAGGATCCACCATTGCAAAGATGTCGACACATGAATTGCTTTGCGAATTTCTTGGTGACATCTCTAGAAGTTGCCTGGCGGTTTGTCTTGAACAAGTGCTCACAGATGAACTTGTTGAACTGTTCACCGTTTTCTTTTATATTGCAACACAGAGCCAAAACGAAGCATATCTTCAGTAATACGATGCAAAAGGTGGAGCTTGGGCTTGAAACTGAAGTCTTGTTGCTTGAGTTTATCTTTAGTGGTCAGGATAAAAAGATCTAGCGCACGGAGCACTTTGGTTACTTCGTCAACAGCACTCCGGATCTGCATAAGGTAGTAGTCAAAGCCCACATGAATTGCACGCATATACACCAAAGACGACAATCTAGCAACTGCATGGAAGGCTGATATAATCAACTCCAGGTTAATCTCTCTACAAAAAAAAGATTGCTCATAACACCTGATAGTATTTGAATCAATTGCTTGAAATCGCGTCCAACAAAAGACCCAGAGTGGCAAAGCTGATTGCGGAAAGTTCGATTATAGCTTTTACAGGATCGGTAAGATGCCATTTCACGCTGGAGGCTATCCTTCTGGACTGCTGTCAATACTGGCTGCTTCCACAAGAAAATGAACAGGCACTCGATAAATCCAAGTGGGATCATGTGAAGAATCTCAAAGGGCATGTCCTTAGTCTGGTCAAAGGCTTTGAGTCTGAAAAACTCCTCGCTTCCGTTCTTTATATAGCCAAAGCTATGACTACATTTGTATACATCCGACTGGTTGTCAGAGGAGGCAAAGGCGGAAAGGAAGTTCTTCGATCTATGGGGCCAGCTGAAGTGATCGACAGGAAAAAAGCGGAGGGCACCAGTTATATGCTTCCGGACCAGACGAGGAGAAGGGAAAATACATCTTCTGCAAAGACACTTTGATGATGTTCCTTTGTGCATTGCAGGCTGAGACTGGCTAGGGTTGTCACCCATAAAGAGCAACAGGGGAGTAACTAACGAGACATACTCGCCAAGGTCTTCAGAATACATCTCGATACCTTTCTCCGAGACAACAAGATCGTCGGCAATAGGGGGCAGCATCTCAACGGCATTGAGAATATGATTCGATGTGCAAACAAACAGAGTATTCTCCCGTTTGTTTCTCTCTTCAAGGGCCATCGCGGCAAAGTACAACAAGTAATTGTCGTATGCGTTGTACTGCTTTGAATCGTTTCCAGAGGTATCATCGGAATACATGTTCAGTTGGCAGATGACCACTTTCATAAGATCGGAGGTTCCAGCTATTATTCTCTTGAAATCTTCGATATTGCTAGTGTTGGACCACAGGCGAAATTTGACACCGACAAGAGCACGATCGATAATCTCGGTATAACAGGAAGAGACGGGGAAACCAAAACCAAAGAAACTGCCACTGCCACTGTCTTTTTGAACAATGGAAAGGAACTTGTTCACTTCCATCTTATACTTGGGAACAAAGACAGCAAAGTTTGTAGAGTTTCCACACGACCAGAAGTATGCGTCATCAGGATGATTCAGAAAAGGACCATGGCCACCGTATACCTGGAAAGCATTGGCATAGCTGGATCCGTTTTCGGTAAAAAATTTCTCCAAGAGAAACCGGTTTGAGCAGCCTTGAACTTCGACAACGTTGCCTACCCAATAGTCCGATTCTTCAAAAGTGAGCATAGAATGCTGGATTAATGGGTCTTCTTTCCATTTGTTGCCTTGGTTGGGGTTTAACCGCTGGTTCTCCGTAAAGTCCGGAAGGGCAGAGAGTTGGGATGTCTTGCCAGGGATTGCCAAAATATGCTTAATATATTCGGATGGCTTGTTGATCGAAAATTCATGGACTTTGGATTTTCGGTTCGTATCCTCGACTGGAGAGGTCTTAAAGACAGGGACCTCGTTCTTTGCTCGCAAGTAAAAGTTAATCACTGCGTCTGGCTTGGGGAAATCCAGTCGTTTTCCGGTAGTTTCACAGCCTCCAAGAGCATCTCCATTGTATACATGATCTTCTTGATGGTTCTTTCTGAAGTCAAATCTTCATCGTCGTTGAACAAGGCAAGCAGAATAGACTCTGTCTTGGACTTGAACGGACTGACATCATCGGGAAACACCAAGACATCCTCCATACTCTAGCGGAGAGCTTTGCTGGCTGCAGCTCCAGTGGAATAGACATTCATGGTTGTTGTGAAGAACTCTGAGACTCGCATGTGTGTTTACATACGGGCAGTACAATTCAGCGTGTTGTTGTCTGTCTCTGAAGTCTCGACTTCATTTTCTTTTGTCCTTTCTTGCAGTAAGATGGCATCAACTTGGGAATCACTAAAAAAGTCATTTCTGGTTAGTATTTGACTTACTATAAATTTAAGCTTAGTTACTCACGTCAGGCGAGGATTATTCTCATATTTGGTTTCTTCATCAGTGGATCCACTGCCATAATAATCCCTCGGCTTTTCCATGACTATTTCCAGCTCAATAAATCCGTTATTCATCTCAATATCATTCTCCAAGTCGACCGCTACAGACGTAGAGAGAGCTTCAGATGATCGGGTTCTAATATTGAATTATACTTGAAATTAGCATCATATTTTACAGCATTATAATGTATTGACTAACCTCTTTTTTGAAAGGAAGCTATTGTATTTATCTAGGCTTTTATTGGGATGGAACTTTAAAATGTTTCTTAAAACCAACAAAGGGAATAAACGATGTCTAATTATTGCAAAGGTGACATGAATATGGGTTTTTGGCTGTATATCTGCTTTTGAAGATGAGACAAGTGTTTTTTCTTTGTGGTAGGGTTATATTCAATAGACTGTAATCGCCTTTTGTAATTTTTGAGGAATAAAAGACAAAGAACGCAGGTAAATTCAAGGTACCCTATTTTAAAGCATAAAAGTGGCGAGACTGCTAAAAATTGGAATGACGAAGAAACTACGAGCAAAGAATAAAAATCTTTGTGGACTTGGATTTTTAGCCTAGCGGAACAAACTCGGTATCCTGTACAACGTGAAAAATGATATTTTTTTTTTGTCCACTAGCATTTTTTCCCTCTATTATTTTTCTATTGTCTGCTAAAAAAAAATAAGTTTTACAGGTATTTCTAGTATAATAATGAAAAGTCAAGCTATGAAATCATCTTAGAAAATCTTGCAAACAGTTCTATATTATGTAGTTGTTTGCTTTATACCCATAGAAAATAATATATTCAAGAGGCCACTGACAACGAGAGACTACTTTGTAGTAGATGCTTCTGTTATAGACAAGCAACCTGTAAGATGGATACATATTCGTAATAATATTCTTTTACAAAAAAAAAGAATATAGTTGGAGGAGCAAATTTTGATAAGGATGTTAACGTAACCAATCACGAAATTTGACTTTAGGGAGATACAGGATTTCCACTACAAAAGATATTTTTTTAAGCTATATATTTGCCAAAATCAAAGCTTTTAGCTTAAGTTCACCTTCAATTACTTTATATGGTGTTTTCGGACCAAGTTGCTCACAAATAAACTCGACATGCATCAATTGCAACACCTGACATTAGGTCCAACCCTTGTTTTAGCCATTAACATTAGAGAATAGCTTGTGCGTTGCAGTGGCTTTCATATGCATATAGGGCTCAGTACTCTTATTAGAAAATTACAGAAACTCGATATCTTTAAATAGGTCTATTCTTTTTTCTTTTATATACGTGCACTGTCTGTCTATTCCAGTTTTGAATGTACAAACACACAGTGTATATGATTATATTATCTTTTTTTTTTTAATGAAAAGGAATGGATATAAATTCTTCGTTAATATTAGGGGGGTGACATTTTCTGGTGTGACACTACCTTTTCTAATGAGAAACGATAATTTGATTTGACCAGACCACAAATTGCGACTTGCTGTTAGCTATCAAATAATTATGTATCGTCTCTAAGGTCTCATACCTATCATAATAAAGATACTTTAATATAAGGCAGGATAATAGCTTTGGCTAAGTCTAAAAGCATCCCTTTAAATATGTAGTGTTATACTTAAAGCTTTATACTATATGCAATACATTAACTGATATACAGATAATAATAAAATAGCTACCTAACAGAGCTGTTTAAATTTGAGGTGTATCCTTTCATCTGATGCAATCCCCCCCCCCCCTTTTTTTTTTTTCTTTTTTGAATTGATTTATGCAAAACCATCTGAAATATCTGTTTTTAGTAAGTCGAATATCTTGATTTTTCTTGTCTCAATAAGAAACATCGATGATATTTTGCATTCATAATCATTAGGCTATATAAAGCCCAGTTTTTTTTCAGAATTTTAATATTTCCTCACTCTTCCTGCATATATATATTCTAATACAAAGATGCCTCTAAAAAGAACCAACAAGAAGGCTGAGGACAGCAACAGGAAACTGCAGATCAAGCAGTATAAGATTCCTGGATTTGAGGAAGAGAAGAAGCCGAAGAAGACACATGGTTTCTGGAACGAGACCAAAGAGTTGGTGCTCTTATAGAAATATGCGCATCTTTTCCATCCTTTGCTGAAGAAAGGTGCACACAAGAAGGCATGGAACGACATTGTCAAAAGTGTCAACAACGTGACACCTGGCGAGACAGAGCTGTCTTACGAAACTTGTCGCCGTAAGATGTTGAGACTTGTAGACATCTACAAGGGTGCATTCGAAGAGAAAACTGTTGTTGGTACCTCAAGCACAAACAAAAACAGGCCAGAGATAGAGAAGGCTGTCAGTAGGGTCCTTGACAAGGTATAGTAAAATTTATATTCAGTTTCCTTTCAGTTTTCTAATTACATATATGAATTTTATTAAATATAGAGAGAGTAGCACGAGGCGTTCAATATTTCTGGTCGCCAACAGGAGATTGGCAGGCAGGAGTTGAAGCTTGGCCTCGAAGGCCATCTACAGTCCATCACGTTGGGAGCTCCTGGCCGGATCACAAATCTCAAGCAAGTATACCGAGATTTTGTCAGGAATAACAATGCAGACATGCAAGAGGAGTTCCCAACAGAGAGCTCTGCTATGTCTGCTGCCCGACCAGTTAGTCGAGCTTGCCCAGCTAGCATTGAGGATGGAGAGGGTGAGAACGCGGATGAGGAACATCCGAAAGTGGGATATGAAGCCTCAGAGTCCCAGGTCGCCCGCCAAGCTGAAGCCATGGGGGTGCTGAAGCAGATACTTAATAATATGTGTGATATTGAAGAGAAATTGAAAAAAGCCAAAAAAAAATGATAATAAAATAAAAGTTTAAGTATTAATTTATTTAAAATAATCTATTGTCTTCATCTTCTCCATATATTTTATCACGTATTAATCCAGATATATTCCTCAAGAGTTGGTGGATCTAAACCAAAATATGAGCTTGTTGGTGATCTATTGCGACCAGTACAGTGGATCATATTATTGAAGACTGTGGATAGCATGTACACAGTCGCTAGACTTTTCTTTCCCGTTTTCATGGAATACTTAAACTTGGACTACTCAAAGTACTTCTGTACTTCCCAAAATTCCCACTCTACTGCCACTCGCACTTTCGACATATTCTTGTTGATTCTTATTTATCTAAATCTATTTACCTGAGTAATACATTACACAATCTTTGCTGACAATCTTTTATAGTTACTATACCACTAAGAGATACGCCTTCAAATGGCGAGTATAGGCACTTGGAAATCATATAGTCTGGATCGCCGTACAAGGCAAATGGCAACTCGGCATCTGGTACGATATCCAAGTACTCTTCCACTCTTGCTTCTGTTTTTGACATAGCATGTATGTACTAACCATGTCTTGAATCGACATATGGTCCAAGAAAGTTGCTTGTGATCCCATCAGGAGTGACAATAGACTGGTACTTCAAAGCATGCAGGTGCTTGCAACCATTGTTAAAAGCTTTTTGAACTTTATTGCCTTGACTTGGCTTTGATATTTCATGCATGGTACCGTCAATTAAACCAAAAATGTTCAGCGATGCTGCGCCTTTATCGTATATTGCACTTGCAACCTTTCCAAGTTTTCCGGGTGAAATTGCTTAGTATTGAATTGAAGCCCCCATTTAATCTGGTTCATAACAATGCTCTCAAATCCTCGGCAGACTACAAATACACTGCTTTCACTCATTCCAAAAAGCATAGAAATATCGCCTAAGCGTCTTGAAAAACTATATAAATTGAGAAAAATTGCAAACCCAAGGTTCGTACGGACTTGTATACTCGAAAAACGGTACACATAATCCAATCCGAGTGATGTTGTTATTCTCTCAATTTCACCCAAAGTGAAACTAAATAGATATATACAAGTACCGTCGCTCAAGAGATTTAGATTTAGTTTGTTTTATCTAGTTCTCCTGGCTCTTTTAATCTCTTGATCTGAGGTTTCTTCTTCATTCTGCTGTTGCCCTTGCTGTTGTTGCTGTTCTTGTTGCTGTTCTTGATGTCGTTGTCGTTGTTGTATTTATTGTCTTTGCTGATGAGCTTGGACGTGATGGTTAATGTTATATTCAGAATGATCAGTCATTTTATTTTGAATTTAGATGATCAATTTGAGTATAAAGAAGTTGTTAGAGAATGAAGCTCATGCATAATATTTTCACAAACTATATTGTTGACGCAACAGGATGGTACACGTATGGTGCATCGGAGAATACTTTTTTTTAAAAAACAAAAATTGTTCTACCTCAAGTGCCTTTTTGGGAGTAGATACAACCTGACATTAAATAGCTCACCTGTGCTCCATCCTGAAAATTCCGTTCCTTATGAAACTTCTGTTCTCCAATCATATTATAGTCATGAAGTATCGTTTTTTATTTAGAATTAAGGAAGTCATACCTAGGATGTCAATAATTGTGTAATACCCATTTTGGATTTTTTGCTGTACCTCGAAGACTTGGATCTGTTTAAGTTTGGTGTGAAAAAAAAATCCAAATTAATATAAAACCTATTTATTAATCGACCCTTCTTTACACTAATTTTTTTTACAAACTATTTGACCTCTATATATCACTCTTGATGAACTCGGCAATGGATTGTCCCTACATCCCAGATTATTGTGTATCGAATATAAATATGCAGCTGGAAATGCACACTGTTGCCTTGAACAATGGTCATCCAACCCCACAACTAGGCGCATGCAACTGTCAAGAATTGTATTCCAACCAGCAGGAAAAAGCCATCAATAAGCAGAAATCAAGCTCATCCCCTGGCTATTCGGCGTCTATTCCTAGCAGACAAGAGTTCTCCCAAATACCCTTTTTGTCTCTAAATACCATTGTGCCCCAAATTCTCTCTGAACTGGATGAAGAGTTCTTCAATACCGTGCCTATCACTAACTACTATCCAGCAAGTTTCATTATTCCTACAATTAAGTGTTCTCTTTGCTCTAGCACGATTAATATCGAAAAAGGATATGCTCTCAGGCCGCCAACCATCTACACAGATATGGATCTCGTAAATTATATATTAAAACACCTCAATCAGCATAAGTGTTCAGCTCAAGATCCACACATAGGCACAACTGTATCCCAGAGAAAATTGTGTGGGCAGTCAGATGTCATGACTTCAACTGAAATGTCCCGTCCTCAGAAGTTTACTTTTCTCCACATATTTCAAAAGGACTGTGTAAGAGAGTGTAAGTTTGTCTAGGTAGCTTATAGATTATTCTCGCTTTCTTTCTGTAATTTTTCCAACGTATAAACATCCTCAATACTAATCTACAATCTTTATCTTTAAATATAAATATTTGTAGATTCTAAAAGAATTTCTGGTTATTATTCAACTTCCAGAACCTCTAGTCCATACAGCCTTAAAACTTCCCGTCAAAATAGGCAAAATAATGATATTTTTACTGAAATGTTTTTTTGTCATCTTTGCAACCACCAGTGCAATCGTAAATCAAATCTTAAGAGACACTTAGAAACACATAGTACGATCAGTAAAAAACCAAGATGTTCTTTTTGTGAAAAGGGGCTAAGCAACAATCATAATCTCAAAAGGCACATAAAGTCTTGCACAATGGCTCCAGTAGATACCGCTATACATAATCTATGATGCCACATCACGCACCTTTATTTATCTTTTCTATCTTTTTATTATTTACTTGAATAGCTTTTATTTGTGCACTGCCTTTTTATATAAATCATCTATCGTTTTAACATATTAAACCATCTGTATTTCTCTGCGTATAGTGCTTATTTTTTATATACAAAGTCATATGTGTATATCTATAAACTCTTATAAGAAAAGAAATCTTGTACATAATATTTCTTAGTGAGCTTGTGGGAAGGGGGAAACGGCACTCCACAATTCAATGTGACTGCTAGCCTGATGCTCTACTGGAAACTGTCAAAGAACCCCAAATCCCCATTTTTTTTAAGCATATCCGTGCACCCCCTCTCCCCCAATATTTAGATCGTTCCAATTTCTCGGGAAAATTTGAAAAGAAATGCCACTTTTTTTTTTAAGTCACTGACATTTAGTTGTAAAAATAAAACATAATATTTCTAGATAACAAGGTACGATGCCTTTTTTACGCTGCGTACGTTATGAACATTGCATACATGAATCAAATAAAAATACTTATATAAACATAAACACCAATTTCGCTACCCTCATTAACAATATGTACTCTGCTAAAACAGCCCTCTCATTCCCAGAGAATGGTTATCCCGACAAACAAAGCGTTTTGGAGGCTGTAAACAAAAAGGGTCTTTCTAACAACTTTACCGTCAAGATTAAGGAGGGGAAGTTTACAACACTTCATCTTGCTTGTTCAAAGGCAGGTGCCTATTGGGATAAGTGTAACATCAGTGAGGAAAAAAGAAAAAAAGGCTCTAACTCTTCCCTCACTGGATGCCCCTTTCTGTTGAGATTCTCTTTTAAAAAGAAGAGCAACATATATCTTTCTTTTTCCACCCGTGGGGACAATAAAAATTGTCACGATCACCCTGTTATCCCTGAGAACTTGGTTTCTTCTCACCAAGGAAGAATATCTCTTTTGACTACTGATGATACCGCCATCGCAAAGACAATGTTGGAAACTCACACCAAATCCCGCGATGTTCAAAAGGCAACAAGTGATAAAAGGACAGAAATTGTAAATCTGAGGATTAGCGATATCGATAACCTTAAGTACAGTGGCATTCGTGGTGCTTCAGAATCTGCCCATGGTACAACTGAGCTCATCAGAACAATGAAAGCAAAGGGATTCTCAGTTCTCTACGAGTTCAAAGAGAGAAATAGCCTGAAGCATATCTTTTTCACCAACGATATAATGATCAAGATAGCTCTTAGTTTCTTAGATGTCTTCATTATGAATGCTACATGCAAGACGAACTGCACAAAGATGCCATTGGTTTGCGTAGAGGGTGTCAGCAACTTAAACGGAGAAAGATTGAAGATCTTTCATGTGGAATTTGCGTAGGTTTCTAATGAGACAAAGACTAGCTATGCTTGGTTTGTAAAATTGCTGAAGTCAATCGTGTTGGAGGGAATAGAATACTCCCCTATCTTTGTTACGGACAAGTGCAAGGAATTAATTAATGCCCTTGATTCTGAGTTCCCTGCGAACAAAAAGCTTCTGTGTGGTTGCCATATGATCAATAACATTGCAAAAATAACAAAAAAAAAAACAATGAAGCCAGGAAAAGAAAGAGAGGTGTGCACGCATTTTGTTAACAGAATGATCATTGGAACTAAACATGGTGTCTTTGATAAAAATCTTGAACTTTTCAAATCACTATCATCTCAAAAATATTCTCAAAGTAAAGAACAGCTGGAAAATGACACCGAATATTCTATAAAAGTTGTAGAAAAAAGGAGCATAGAAAAGTACTTTGAAGATGAATGAATGGCGTGCAAGAAGAAGTGGGCTGGCTACCTCGCCAGTCAATTAAGACATTTGGACTGTCTGACAACACAACGTGTCCAGGGTGGTCATAACGTTTTGAAAAAAAAAAGCTTGGCCCTTAAATCGTTGAACTCTTCCTTTGAGCAAATCTGCTCTTATCTTCCCTAGTTTGAAGGCGATTACCAGGACCTTAAATTTAACGAGGCAACCATCACAGATGCCAGAAGCTATCATGAGCCTCGCCTCCATGGATTGATTAGCCACGTTTCCAGAATTGGTTTGATAACAATCCGTCCCGAGCTTCTAGAAGAGGTTGTTTCTGGCGAGCTTTGCGATCGCAGAGTAAACGTGGCGTTTGGCCTTCCTTATCGCCATAATTTGCCAAGAGACTGTATGTTGCTATTATCAGACATCCCTGAAAGATGGATTCTGTTGTCTTCTTTGGATTAACGTTCGACGCAATTAGAATGGGACGTTTCTCTACAGCAAATCGATGTTGAAAAGCCTGCCCCGTGCGTGAAATGTATAACAAAGCTTGAACAATTGTTTCACTAGTGTGAAGGAGACCAACAAATGCAGAATACTGTGACAATGGTTGATGAGCTGGTCGAAGATGCCGGTGAGATGATCAGTCATCCAAATTCTGTGTTTCTTTAAGCAAGTGAGGTCAAAGCTTTTGGAAGACCTAGCCATGGCAAACAAAAAACTGCTCTCTCAAAGGACTTTGTTCTTTTGGACAAGGAGATGCCTGTGTTTGTGACGAACAAAGTAGAAATACAACATACACACAAATATTCTCACCATCTAATACATATATATTCTTGTTTTTCTAGAATAAAATTAGAGATATTTTAAAAGGACTTAGAGAAGTGGTGAAGGAGTTCTTAGAGGAGGAGCCTCTAAAAAAAAGTAATCTATTATTGTTTTTTTTTTGTGAAATTACAATATAATATCTAATGCCTACTATTTCTAGTCATAAAAGAAATAAAAAAATACAACTCCAATTCTCTGAAAAGTAAGAGCCTCTCGAAGAAGGTACTTGATATAATATTTTACTGAAAGTAAATGCTAAATCTAACATTAGTTTTTGTTTCTTCCTAGCTAACAGATATTCCTATGGAATTAAAATATCTAGCCACCCCCAGATTACTACTGGTACTATTTGCCTAATCAAATAAAACAAAAAAAAACAAAAGAATGTGCATGAATTTTCTCTGCTTGCTCAAATCAACCAAGCTGCCATTTTGTTGACATTCAACCCAAAGTCCGATGGTCGGTGTGGTTTCCGTGTATGTGCACACCTAAAAGAAGGTGGAGAAAATCAGCTCCCTTTGGTGAAGAAGAAGATGTTAGCCACACTGGCGATCCACAGGAAGCTTTACGAGCACAACGTTGGTTTGGATGTTGCCAAAGTGACAAAGGTCATTGCATTTGGCTCTGAGATTAACCCAGTACTTGGTGAAAGTATCTCTTCTTTCCCTTTCTCCGTGTGGTTCTCTGCACCAGACTGTGCTCAAATAATAGCTGGCACCTATAACGAGCCTATTTTGGTGTACTCGGACGATTTAAGCGTCTTTCTCGTAATTCTCCTTCCCCTTCTGATTGGAAGCCTCTCAAACGAAAGACATTGTCAATGGTCTTGCACCATGGACATGGGTACCACTGGAAAACAATCAAAGCCAACCCTCGTGTACATCGGTTCTGGCTTGGGGTAAATGTGCTGTACTTTGATGCTATTCGTAGAGGGACTATTATCGACTGTTTTTCCACGAGTTGGAATTATTGGGGTCAGTTCCCAAAAAACAAATCTTATCTTTTACCTTCCACTACTACTACCACTAAATCTTTCGCTACTTCTCCTATATATTCTTCTGATATCATTGACCTTACACATATATAACGTATCTGTCTTTTTTTTTTAAATATAATATATATATATATACTTTACTCTTATTTTTTCCTTTAATTTTTTTTAACAAATACAATTGCACCCAGTCTGGATTTAATTTGAATGTTATATGTAAAACCCATATACAAATATGATTGGCATCCGACTAATTGGAAAACTATATAATTGGCTTTTATTTTTTGGAGTACAAATTTTGTGCATCTATAAGCAATCTGATTAAGATATTTGTCCAATCACAGACGTGACTTTTACCGTAAAAGATGTGAAACAGGAACGACGCATAGTTTTTGATAGATTTCTATCTTATTTCAAACACTGAAGCTTGGATATTTTGTAGTATTTCTGAAATAATATGTAAATTTACACATTTAAAATTTGAAATCAATTGATTATGTTTTGGTTGTATAAACAAGGAAAATATACACTTTTTTCACGTTTTTAACCATCCGAGACAGACTATTGTTTGCTAATAAATATATTTTATACATAATAGTATGAGCTTAAAACTTTTATTGAAACATTTTTTTACTATTTTTTATTGATACAACGCACTTTAAAGGGATTTTTACTAATATTTTCAAATTGTTGCTGTCGTTTTTTGTTCAATATTTCACAAATGAATTGTACAGGGCTTTTGTAATTCACTCTTCAAAAGCGATTCAAAAAATATTACAAAATCAACAAGACTAGCTATCATATTCTCATATTTTTATCAACCTTTTTGAACAAGTTCTAATTTTTTTAAAAATGAAAAAGAAATGGAAAAAAAAGTTAAGGGCAAATTTTCTTCCAAATTTGCATGATTTTTCTTTGTGAATAAAGACAAGTGATTATACTGGATGGGAAGAGGGTGCTACACACAGAAACGCTGGATGTTTGCCAGACAAGTTAAAAGTAGTAACGCCTCTAATTTACTGTCAGACTACTCAATGCTAATTTGTGTAATACCCTGTCCCCTAAGACTTACGATTGATTTAACAATTAATAAGGTTTTTGCTGTAGACTAATATTAGTACTAATTTTAGATTCCTCGATCTTTCTGTCTTTAATCCAAAAAAAAACAAACTCTGATATAGATAACATTGTAAAAATATAAATACGTATGAAACAAATATGATTATTTTTGCGCCAAACTACGATTAAAAAGTTCTATTGAAACACCGTAAAAAAGCAAAATTGGATGGGAACACAAGTCAAACATGTTCCTAATTTATCTCATAAACAATACAAAAACAGATCCACCTAGTGTTCTAACCCCCCCTCTCATTCTCTCTATCTTTATTCCACTCGGATAACTCCGGTTAAGGTAAAACACTTTAAACCATGTCTTTTATATATATATGTATTATAAGCTTGATTATCTATAGTTTTGGCTTTTGTTCTTGCCACCCAAAAAATTCTAAATTGGAAACCGATCTTGAATTTCAAGCTTTTTAAATCTATAAAAGCAAATTTACAGAATTTCATTTTTTTTCTACTGAACCACATCTTTCTTTTCTCTCTCTACGCTACTTCACCATTGTATTACTCTTAATGAATCCGACAGTGTATCAATTCCAGATCCCAAGTTACGGTGTATCTTATGACAATATTCTGGCAGAAATTCATCTTAACAGTCAACACAATTGCCACACCAGCCCACAATTCAACACGTATAACTGCCAAGGGTTGAATTCAAACCAGCAAGAGCAGACTGTCTGTAACCAATCATCAAACTTACTCTATGGCTATTCACCACCTCTTATACCTACTCAAAAAGCTACCCAAACATCTTCTTTTTTCCCAGATGTCAACTTTGAGCTTAACAATGATGAGGCTCTGTGCAACACCACGTCAATCCAGCACATTCTGTCTATTAATCGTGTAACTTTAGACAAGTGCCCTTTTTGTTCATACAAGGTTAATATCCAGAAAATATATAATCAAATGTCACCATCCCACCCCACAAATGAGAAAACATTATATCATATTATGGATCAATTCAATCAGCATGACTGTCCGGCTCAAGCTCAATACAAGGCTAAACATATAATCCAGTCAGAATTGTGTGCCCATTCAACTTCTAAAGTCGTACCTAGCATTCTCAAGCCTCAACAGTTCGTCTTTTTTAATACTTTCCTTGAAAGCTTCACTAGAAAGCGTAAGTCTTTACCAGATTCTCTTTCTTACAAAATACTAATACCTCGCCTAAATATTCCACACAACTATCAATATATATATATATAGATCCTAAAAGACCTCGTACTCGCCGAACTTGCAATACCTCTAGTCAATATGATCTGAATATCGGCAGAAACGAGATAAATAATGGTGATGATTCTACTACTAAATTTTTTTCTTGCAAAAGTTGCAATTTTCAATGTAATCGCAAATCGAATCTTACAAGACACTATAGAAAACATTCCCTTGACTGGAAAAAACCAAACAGTCCCCTTTGTGAAAATGAGTTTTGAAGTACTTACAATGTCAAAAGACACATGAAGGTTTGCAAGATGTCTTCAACATACACTACCTTGTCAAACGTATGATACCAAACCATGTATCCCTCTTTTTCTTTTTAACTATTTACTGAAATAGTTCCTATTTATATACTGCCTGTTAATATGAATTATCAATCAATTTACAACCTTGCAATATTTGTATTTCTCTATATTTTATTTGCTTTTTTTCATTTTCTTAATATATATGTATGTATGCATGTGTATGCTGATGCTGTTCGAGCTATTAAGGTGTCTGTACATAAAGTGTATATAGTCAGGCAAATATGCGTATGTGCATTGTTTGTCTGTGTCTATGTGTAAAATGACTAGGCTATATATGTTTCAATTCAAAACAAATCCAAATATATTACCATGGTATTTGAATTATTATTATTATCTTAAAAAAAACAGACACGCACACACGCACAAATTATTAAAACTAGAGAAACTTTATTGGGTATTATTGATTAATCAACGCGCACCATAGCTATTAGTTAATCAACGTAACCACTTTTCAGAATATTGAACGAGCATACACTTGGTCAAAGTTATTTGAATACTCTATTTGTATATATTATGTAGTTTTTATTTCCTATTGAGAGCCCACATAATTGTATATAAAGAAAGTTGGTGAATTCAGTTGTGTACATAGACAACCCGGGTATAGAGGCCATACTTGGATAGTTAAATCTGAAAAATTAAGATTGTACTTTGAAGATTTATATGTTTAAAAGAGAATATATATATAATGCTCTTGTTTTTTGAGAACCACCTTAGTTACAGCACGTTACTTAATTAGTTATAAAATATATAATGATTTTGTATCAAGACTCTAATATGTTTTTGTGCCATCAACCCATATATTAGATGTTCATCACTCATCTCCATGGAAGATCATCTCGTCCTTAATTGCCATCGCATCTCATTACAATAAGGGCCTCTATTGCAATAATATTCAGCTGTTTAATATTGTTGTTTTGTACATCTTCTTCTTCTTATATATATACATACGTGTATTTCATAGTAACTGAAAATGTTTTCTTGTGCCTGTTTGTATAAAAGTATTTTTGCATTTGACCAAAGAAAAGAACAAACCAATTTTAACTAACCTTTAAAAACATCCCCTTTGCCACTTTGCTTCTTTACTTTAGCTTTACAAAAAAAAAGCTTTTATTTTTAGTACCTTGTTTTACTCACACATGGGTTTTACTATCATTTCTTGCAATATCGTTTGGCAAATAATGAAACATGAACTGAAATAAAAAAAATAAAAAATTACAAAAGGAGGAGTTCCCGTATAGGATGGCAATGGCTGAAGAATACTTCTCCGACGTGCTATCTTACAGCTGATCTGATGCTCTGAGTTTTCCCTGTTGTATTGCTACCCTCGGGCAGTACCCCAGTACTTAGCAACCTCCGTACCTCAGCCTACGCCAAGGTACGAATGCCGACATCAATCTCTGCAAGACACTTTCTTCGACAAAGTAACCCAGCCACCGTTAATTCCACCCAAATACGAATTCATTCCTTTATAGACCGCCGTTGGCTTACAGATAGACGAGCTATCCGGTCAATTTAATAAATGTCGGCTTTTTGTTTATATGTACTTATTTTTCAGGTTACCTTAAAGTTGTGGGTTTTTAATTTACTATTATTATTATTATTTACCCATAATATTATAAATATTTTTTTCTATTAATATTATATTCACATAATACCCTAATAGTCTATAGAAATTCTAGTGAAATAGTTTTTTGAGGTAGAATTTAATTCTTACAGCAGACAAAATTCCCAACATTTTATTTAAGCATCTTTTGTTTCAGATATAATTTATACATTTTAAATGAAAAAAAGGATTGCTCTTATTAATAACTTCTTATTGCTCTGTAAGAAAAAACATATGTATGTATGTAGATATCTGCTTGTTTTCTATCTATCTTTTATGTAAAGGTAGAGATATAAATAATGAGTCCTTAACTGGAATCTAATATATGGGAGTATAAAAGCCATCGAGATTGATAACTGCACCACACTACTCAAAGCATATAGCTTACATCCTTGAACATGGCTAACTTGACTGGTAATTTTGTGGTTGGGTGTGGATAGTTTTGAGGCAGATGTGTGCTGACCATGAGTATTACTAATATACTGAAGATCAATGCTATTATTAAATCTTTTATTGGCTCATTATATAGCTGTATTAAAAGATTCTTGTTGTTGTAGTTTTATTTATTTATATATAAAATAATCGATATTTTAGTTTTTAGTTTTTAAGTTTCTCAGGATACAACATTATTGATAAAAAAAATACTAGTCAAGAGTCTATGCTTTTGGTGCCTTTTCTTTAATATATAAAAAGCATAAATAAAAATAAAAACAAATGTACTGGAAATGAGAAAGGTTGGAGGTGGGTAATAGATTGGAGTTGAGTGAAGGAAAATACAAGACGTAGAATGTAAGGGGATATTCTTTTTTTTTAAGATAAGTGTGTGTGTGTGTGGGTGTGTGGGTGGGAGGGAGTAAGTGAATAAGTGAATCAGCAAAAAAAAACATGGTTTTATAAACACACTTCTTTTTTTAAAGGTGCTTGAGAACAGCCTCGACAACATCGTTGGTAGAGCTCTTACCACCCAAATCAGGGGTGAGGACAGATGCATCAGCAAGGACAGCATTTACGGCGTCATACATGGCAAGGGCGTGGGCAGTGTGGCCCATGTGTTCGAGCAAGAGACCGGCAGAGCGGATGGCAGCAATGGGGTTAGCAATACCCTTTCCGGCAATATCAGGAGCAGATCCGTGGACGGGCTCACCCATGACAAACGAGTCACCGACATTTGCAGAGGGAACAACACCAAGGGAGCCGACAAGGGCAGCAGCGCCATCACTGATGATGTCGCCATAAAGGTTGGGGGCAACAACGACGTCAAAGGCCTCGGGCTCACGGAACATGCGGTAAACCATCGAATCAACAAGCTGCTCATCCATATCCACACCACTGTAAAGCTCAGGGTTTGATTCCTTGACAGCACGAACGGTCTCACGGAACAGACCATCAGTTACACTCATAACGTTGGATTTGTGAACAATAGTGACGCGAGGGGCATGCTTTAATAATTAGGGAGAGCGAAAAAAAGCGAATTTTAATGTTAGCATATATATATATATATATTTGTTAAAGTTTTCTCACCTTCCAGAAACGCTGGGCCAAAGGCTTCTGTTCACGCAACTTCTGGCGAGTCAAGGCCATGTTGAATGCCATTGCACCAATACGCTTGGAGGCATACTCTGAGATCTTACGGTCAGCATAGGCAACCTTGAGACCAGTCTTGGGGTCTTGTTCGATTCTCTCAGACTTGATATACTATTAACATTCACATTTATTATAAGTTAGCCTTTTTTTTTCCAATTTCTCAAAACCTTGTTCTTCCATTGTACCCCCAAAAGCAACAATAATAATAACCATAGCCCCTAATTTGAGCACACACACATATATATAAAGAAAACTTACCAAGCACTCGGTGTTTTCACGAATGATAAGCATGTCCAACTCCTTTTGGTTGGGGGTGGATGCAGACTTGACAGAGATGACAGGACGAACGTTGGCATACAAGTCCAAGTGCTTACGGAGAGCAACAATAGGGGAAGAGTAACCAGCAACCTTGTGAGAAGGAGAGCTATTGTAAAGTAAAAATCATAAAAAAAATATTACTTATTACATATTCATATATATTAAATGACAGGAATTTCTCCTTTTTTTTCTTTTTTCTTTTTTCTTTTTCTTGTAATTAGAACGAGAGAGAGAGAGAGAGAGAGAAATAGGCGTACCTGACAGCACCAAACAAGGCACCGTGACACTCGTTCTTCAAGGTGTCAACAGTGCTCTGGGGAAGAGCAGTACCGGTCTTTTGGAAATGCTCAAAACCAGCATCGAGGTGAACAAAGTCAAACTTGGGACCGTTGGGAAGAGCTTCAAGAACACGTTGAGCAGCCTTATGATAGTAAGGTAAGATAGGATTAGAAAGGCATGTCAGAATACTTTAGATTCTAGTGGATTCTTCCTATTGACCCTCATAAAAGTTGTTTAAATTGATAGGCGATAGATACTTACAGGAATGACTGTTGAATAAACAGGCACGACAAATATAGAATGTCATTAATATACAAAAAAAAAATAAGAAGGAAAATGATGAGAAATAATGACTTGAACACAACAATGCGCGTGTATTGTGTATAGTATGTCTAACTTTTCACTATTCTCTTCTGCTTTGGTCTTTTTAAGAGTTAAACATACCTTCTCTACCGATACCATCGGCGGGGATCAGACCAATTCTGATAGCAGAAGAGGAGGTGGCAAAGGTGCGACGGAGAATGTTGGAAGCCATTATATTGATATCAAATATATTTTATAATCAAACAAATAGTATGATTAAAGAGTGAAAGAGGTAGAGAGCGTGTATGCGTGTGCGAGAGAAGGGAAGGGATGGTGGAGAAGGGGGTCTTTATTAAAGCCAAAAAAAAAAGCAAGCAAGTACGGGGGTTGAATAAGACGGTCACCCAAGATTAGATGATCAACCTAAAAGAGGAAGGTGGGTCTTGATGGAATCGTAAAGGCGACTGTCACAGGCTCAATAAATGGATTGGCTCAGAAAATGGATCTTTTGCATCGTTTTTTTTTGTATTCCTTCTTTTGGTACCACAAGACATTTGCCCTATTTCCATAGCTATTTCGCGACATAACTTTTGAAATTTATTTGCGCTCAAGAAAAAAAAAGCGCAAATAATTAATTATTTACTTAATTATTTAATAAGTAATAATAAAAGCATATACATTGGAATAGTAATAATAGTAATAGTAATAGTAATAGTAATAATGATAATGGTAATGGTAATGATAACACTAATAGCAGTAACAGTGGTAACAGTGGTAGCTATAGTAGCCGTAAATTGATAATTGTAATAAAAATTACTTGATTCCTCTTTCTTTCTTTCTTTTTTTTGGGAATCCAAGACTTCAGACTACATTAATACACAGCCACAATCTCCTGTTGTTTCTGCATACGGATCGGGTCTCTTGGTGTTCAACACAGAGGGCACCATGTAGTCAGAGTTGTTCTGACAGTATTCAATCAATCTTAAATAATGAAGAGCATCAATTAAAGTAAGAACCTCTTGGAAATATAATAAAAGCATAAACACAAGATAAAGGAAGAAATAAAGAAAGTCTTACGATCTGCTAGCTTCGGATACTGGAATACGTTGAATCTCCAGCTGCTCTCGTAGCTTCTCATTGTATTCATAGATCTTGAGAAGTTTAGCCTCCATGATGTGTTGATGAGAACAATAGGACTGAAGAATAAAAAGAGGTATATAATTCCAGGAATCCACTGAAAAATACAGATTTAGAAGAAGGATAATCACAAGAGTAACAACTGCGGTAGTAAAGAGAAGAGACGAAAGAGAGAAGAAAGAGAGAAAGAGAGAAAGAGAAAGACAATGTGCTTGCATTTGTGTATTTGTATTTGTATGCCTGTGTGTTTGTGTGTCTATCTTCTTTTGTCTCTTAGTATCCTACACTCTTATATACAAATCAAGGGGTTGGATAATTTGTGCTCTAGAGATTTCCAAAGTAAGGCTACAAGAATCTTAAAATACAATACACCATATACCACACTGATAATTAGCAAATAAATAAATAAATAAATAAATAAATAAAGCAAAAACATGATATCGCATCATCCAAGCTTGCAAGGCCAAGACTGGACTTGTACAAGAAAGTTTAAACAAATAATAAAAAAAAAAAACTTTATTTTATTGTTAACCCTCAACTCCTTGGTTACTAATTCCTTTTTGAACAATTATATATAATATTATATTAGTAATTATAAAACTCTAATATCTGTATCTCTCTTGGTATTGATATCAGACTTGATTATTGTGCCTCAATTTTTTTTTTTAAATTTATCATGTTTACTTGCTGTAATGATTATATATATGTGCGTGTGTTTGTTTTTGTAAATATTATTTTTATCCCGCCTTTTGGTGAATAAATCTGTACAACTTCTTGGCTGGTTCTTTGCCTATCAGTTTTTGAAGTTCCGGTTCCTTAACTTTACATAAATCCTCAAGATTATTGACTGCATTCATTATAATGGAGTAATTAGCAGATGTGATGCCCGGCATACTTCGAAGCATTTCCTACAGAATAGTTAAAGGTGAACACGCACATTAACAGAGTAAGTAGGTGAGTAATCAAATAAGCAAGTAATATTGAAATGCAATGCTTCTTGAGCTATTTTATTTTATTTTCTATTTTATTTTATTTTTAGTTTCTGTCTCTTATTGCGCAATTTACCTCTGGTGTAATGTTGTACATACGATCTTCGTCTCTTGCTCCATTGGTACCAATTGAAGCAGCAATGTCTGCATCAGGCTGCTCTTGAGATTTCTAATTGGAGTATATATATTGCAACAATTAGTAAAGGCGTATATATATATAAGTTTTACCTTGAGATCAGCAAATATCAACGATGTTTCATGTTGACTTGGTGACCAGATGATTTTCAATTTAGGAAAGGTTATAGTCAACAGGACAAGCTTTGAAGTTATGTCTGTCCCCACAATGTGTTCTTTTACTTCAGATAGACTCTAAGCACATATAAATAAGTATGTCGCTCTAACCTTATTATCAAGAATCACTTACTTGGAATGGAGCTGCCTTTGTATCGTCAAATTCGATCAATAAGATAGGAATCTTGTAGTGTTCAGACATTGCCTCACATTGAGTATACCTAAAAAACCCCTCAACCCACATACACAAAAGAAACATCATATTCATGATAGACAGACAGATTGATTGATAAATATCTTAATTGTAATTTCACCATTTTGATTTCTTGTTTGTTTTGTTTGTGTATCTGTCACACACACACATACACAGAGAGAAAATAACTTACAATCTTCCACTGGTAAACGATGAAATCAAGTCTACAATTGATTTTCGTTCCACGCACATATCTGGACTGAGGATGTAATCACCAATTACTAATGTACACGGCACGATGTCGATTCCTTGGGAGTATAGGATTGGTGGCAATGGGTTACGGAATTCACGCATGTCTACGATAATCTTGGCCGGCTCTGATGGTTTCAAGTGGCCACCCAATATTCTACTATTCACAGCACTCACAAACCCATCATCTGGAGTGACATTTGAAGGAGGTATTGGGATAACCATATTCTGTTTATTTGTTTTTTGTTTTGTTCAAAGAAGAATATAAATAAATTAATCCAATGTATTTAAACACACATACATATATGTAACTAGTGTATTACTACTGCTATTTCTACTTGCCGACTTTTCACGAATCATACGCTCAAAGGCTTCTTTTTCTTTTCGAATTTCACTCAGATATACTTGCTCTTCAACTGAGTTTTCATACACCATAAAGTATACACGCACATTGAGATGGGGATTAAGTGATCGATAGATCTATTTTGCATACATACATAAGTTAGGTATATTAGTGATTGTGATGGTTTTGAAATATCATCAAACTATCGACTAATTAATTAATATTTTTTTAAAAAATAAAAAATAAAAGAGAGAAAGCAACATACCTCTATACTGCGTACAAATGCTGGGTCTGGATCATACATTATCACAAACAGTGGTTCTGTGTCTTCCAAGATCTGGTCATTTAGATTGGGCTCATAACAGTGGATTGTTATCGTATTTTCTTTTGGTATCTCTATAAATTCGGATGATATGGTTTCTGTAGTTGTGGGCATCAGAACTTGTGCCATATCAATCTTTATTTCGGGCTGATAAGCTTCACATTCTTGGGTTGTTTGACTATATAAATAAATCATCAATAATAATAATACCATTATATTTCATACACGACCTTTATTGCTTCTTATTGTTATATCAACGATTTCCTTTCCCCTCTCTCTCTCTCGCTTTCTTTCTTTTTTTTTGGCAAGTAAATATATTTAATTATATTATTATTAGTGCTATTTACCTTGACGATTGTACACTATCTTGAGTGTCATTTGTTGACTCAGAACGTGTTCCTCCAGTACCTGCAGTTGTAGAACCACCTCTTGTTCTTCTTCGTTTATTAAATGGTGAAGATCGTAAAAAAGGAGGTGGCGGTGCTGGCGATGCTGGTGAAGCTGTTGGTGTAGCAGCAGTTGCAGTAGGATTTAAAATTTTGATCCGATTACCGCGCACCGAAAAGAGGTTTTGGACCAGATGTGTCATCATTGTAGGTTTCTTATCGTCTTCATAATCTGGATCACTCATCTCAACTAGTCTCCGACGAAGTTGAGCGCATGTCTTTAATGACTTTACCATTACCAACACTGGTGCACCTATTTAAATAAATATTCATTTTATAAATAAGTTTGAGTACCCCAAAAACAAAAACAAACAAACAAACAAACGAAAAACACAATTATAATATTGTTTTTTCTTCTTCTTCTTTTGACAATTTTGTACCTTTTCCTTGTGTGGCTTCATCCATGTCTTGTTCAATTTCTTCCAGGATATCTCTTAGTAGCTCCCATTTTGGTTGATCCTCCAATGTCAGACGTAGCGATGGTGGCATGTTAATTGGAGTATATCCATGCCATGTCTCTGTTGTATTGTACTCTGGATCATCTGGTTTCAGGTACACTCTTTTTCTAGCTTCCTGGAACCCAATATAGATACACAAATGTACTTATGTAAATAAATAAATAGAAACAATAAAATACTCATATACAGTAGCATCTATTTGTTTTTTTTATTACTAACCATTATGACTGTGTTTGCTGAACCGAGTAGGAGCCACTTTGAAAACTGCTGCTGGTTATCTTTTGAAGGCGTACCACAATCCACAATTGTTTCCAGAATACTGTAAAACGACACTGCATCGTACTCTGTTAGATAGACCAGCAGCCGCCTAAGGTTACCTAGATCATCTATAAGCTGTTTTGATGAAGGGCTAACTTTGTGCCAGATATGGGAAAGTCGACGGCGAATAGAGACATCAAACATCTTGAAGAACGAATTTTCTATGGTGACTTCCTGGGTATCCAACTAAAGCAATATATGTTGTATATATGTATGTTAAGCTTGTGCATGTACATTTTTTTTATATTGCCAACTTTCTACTAGTATTTATATATATATATATATAACAAGGATATTTGTTCTTACAGTGGGATTTTGACGACGCAATTCAGCAAGAGTTGCTTCCAAACATTCGATTAGACCTTTTTGAATGATTTCCATTGAAGGTGACATTGGCTGGCGTAGTTCTATCACATCAACTTCCGTAGCTGATAAATTGTCTGCTACCAAGACCTGGAAGCTAAATATATAAAAGATACACAGTAATCATATTGTATGTATTTAAAAATATTCTAATTGGGTGTGTTTGTTTCCTACCGTGGCCACAATTGAACCTTGCGTAGTCTGAGAGACTTTAATATGGTTTGTAATGGAGCAAATCCAGACACAAATGGAGATGGATTATCTGAAAATGCTTTGATAAAACCTTGCTATATACATATGTACAAATGTTTATATTTATATTTATATTTATACAAAAACTTGCCTCGTTTTCTTTTCGATAGACATTTAAAATCAATTCTTCCATGGCATCACTTCTGACCCTATGTTACTAAAATGGATCAGATCTTCTATTCTCTTACACACAGACAAATTCCAGGCAAACAAATAGACAAGCAAACAAGAAAGCAAATAAACAGGTACATGTATAATTATGTTTATTTATTTTTTCCTACCGATGAGCATTTGCAACGATAATTCCAGATATCAATGGGATAGGTACACGACGTAAAAGCATATCTACTGCTAAAATTCGAGGAGTAACTGAAAATACGCCACTATTTGTGTACATGGCACGTCTTTTCAAGTGCAATACAAATTAAGCCCGCAGCATTACACATTTACCAACACAAATCCCCAATTGTATTTATATTTGTATTAATTGATAGATAGATAGATAGATAGATAGGTAGATATATAGATATATTAAAGAAGACAAAGCAATAGTATGAGAGAAAAGTGTCAATTATAAAGATAGATTTTATATTTGATTCAATATATGTAAAAAAAAAAAAAAAAAAAAAAAAAACCTTGTCTCTGCTGGTGTGTCTGAATCAATAACTTTGAGGTTTTTGTCTGGTAAGATTCCAGCCATCATGAGATGTTCCCGAAGCGCAGCATTTTGTTCTGGATTAGAATTTAGCAAGAAAACAAGATGATTTCCCCTGCAATGCATCTCAATTAATGAGCACATTATTCTAAACAATCCAAGCCCTGGAGCTAGAATAGTCAAGGCATCATCAGCTACAATTTCAGTGAGGATTTCTTTTTGGAATTCAAGCATAAATGAACTTTGTCTTTTCTTTCTAAAGAGCTAAATAATAATATATATAAAGCGTCGAAGAATTAAAGAGAGAAAGAGAAAGAGAAAGGACAATACAAGACAAGAAGTACTTGCGCATATTGACATTTCGGTTTTTTGTTTTGTTATTATATACATATATTATTTATTAAAGCGGCACTTTTTGCACTTGTTCTGCATAAACCACGTGATATTGAAAGTAAAGGACAAGGAAAAGATGTACTTGTGAACAGGATGGATTAAATAAATAAATATTTTATTCTATTATAGCATAGTATAGTATAGTATATTATAGTATGTCATTGTACTTGTATGAGTCTTGTTGAAAACATAAGATATCAAAGTAAACGAATGCATGAATGAGTTGAATTACAAGGAGGTAGAGGTTGAAGAAGAAGAGGAAGAAGAAGAGGATCTTGATCTCTTTGATATTGCCCAGTAGTTTAAAAGGGCACTTACAAGACCAACGTTTGGAGGCGGGGAGGTATATTTGGTAACTCTTTTGTGAACACATTCTTCAATGATGTCTCGAAGAAAGGATGCTCGAATTGGTTTCTTTGAACGAGAACTTGACTTGAATTTCAACACCTGTATGTATGTACGTATATATACGTATATATTTATTTGTTGTTGAGGATTAGCTTTATTAGTATTTTATCAATTAATTGATTAAACCCTTTACTTGCCTTTTTCATTTCTTAAAAGAAGAAGAAGCAGTATATATATATATATATAGTATATATTCAAATATATCTTTGGAATTAGCTCGCAGTAAATATCAAAGTAAAGAAGAGCAAAATAGAAAATTACTGGCTTTGGTTTTGGATCCTGACCAATTTATATAGCTGTGTAGATATGTGCATATGTATACAAATATACAAATGAAAATATAAATATAAATGAGATACGAGCCAATGTCAAGTTGAGAATAAGAATCCGAATAATAATAACAGTAGATTATAAAACGATAGTAAAAATAATAAAAATAAAAGTTTCCGAAGTGAATGTGTATACATGTGTCAATAAATAATTACAAGTGAGTCCAGTACTTAATTAACACCAATATACTTCTTCCCTTTTTTGCTATTAATTATTATCACTACGCCAAAAAAATAGGAGTTTTAGAGGTGGTTTCACAGGTGGTTCCGGAGGGGAAGCCAGGGCGCGTTTTGTGTCCTCCCCCCTTTTTTCCAACCCTGAGTTCATGTGCATTTTAATACATCTCCGCTTACCGGTAGTTTTAAGACTCTATTAATATATTGATAACCTTTTCTTTTGCTAATATTTGTCTTTCAATTAGACAAAACTTCTTTAAGTATAGTTGAAATATTATATGCCATTGGTTACTACTAATTCATTATTCTTTTAATTTTGATTCTTTTAAATATTTCTTGCTTAATCATTGTTTTTATTGGATAAGACATAATTGCACTGTAGTGTATTTTATAAAAATACATTTTTATTGGTTTCTCAAATGGATATATTTTTTATTTATCGTTTTTATTGGTTATTACACTACACAATTACATTTTATATATCACTTTTATTGGCTGTTATGATAGACATTACATTTTATACATCATTTTTATTGGTTATAAACAGTCAAATACATCATATACTTCCAATATTAAATATACTACTTTACACTGCAGTGGATAGTTACTTACAATTGCCTCCTTTGACGGTCTTTCCAGAGATGACTGACTCTTGCAATGGATGCCCACTTTTGATGGCATCTGGTGAAATCTATACCAACCCTCTTAAGCATGTTTGCATGTTTATTGCAAATCATTGTTCGATCACATCGCTGGTGAGAATCCAATTCCTGCCAGCACAATGATACAGCTTCCTCTGGGTAGACAGCTTGCAGTTGCTTTGGCCAACGACCGCACCAGAAAAGAGATGTTGTATCGCCACCATCATACGCAAAAGGCTGATGGCAGCATTTCCGATGTCTTTGACGGACAGGCATACCAGTCAAAGAAGCATCTTTTCTCGGGTGAAAACGACATCGCCATTTCGCTGTCTGTTGATGGGTTTGCTCCCCATAGTGTTCCGGGTTCGGTAACCATTGTCCACGTTACCAACCTCAACCTTCCCCCAATTATCCGCTACGAGCGCAGCCGTATGATCCAAGTCGCGATCATCCCTGGTCCCAAAGCACCCGCCGACTTCTGGTCATTCCTGGAGCCTGTTCTGAAAGAACTTCGGGTTCTCCAAGCCGGTGGAATGGTTGTGAAGACACCATCTGGAGATATTAGTGCAAAAGTCCATGTACTAATGACAACTGGCGACATCCCAGCTCTGGGAAAGATGGCTTGTCATGTGGGCCATATGAGTAAGGATGGCTGCCGCATCTGCCACGTTGTGGGTCAATCTCCTGGCCATGGCCAATATTTCCGAATGCCATCTGCCATCACCATGCGCACACCGGAAAGTTTCAAGCACTTTGATGAGGTGGCCTCATCCAGCAAAAAAGGGTTAACTGACCAATCACCCTTCTCCTTACTGGATTCCTTCTCTGGTCCGTTCTTCTTTGCATTGGATGAAATGCACGGCATTTGTCACGGCATTGGCAAACAGGTCTGGGGGCTCGTGTGTGGCAAGTATGGAAAAGATCATCCTCTCTCTCTCCCTTGCTGCTCAGAAAGAAATTGGTACTGCCATAGTGTCAACCAGAAGAAGTATTCCGACATCTTTCCACGGTGCATGGATCAACATCGCAACAAAATCAGGGTACTTCCGGGCTGTGGACTGGGCTGACTTCATCTTGTTTGTTATCCCCACGCTTGTGGCAGAGCGTGTCCGTGACCAAGCTGCCCGTAAGGCATTGCTTGACCTGGTGCAGACATGCAACCTACTCATGAGCTGGGAGTTATCAGCAGAGGAGAAAACCTTGATCAAAACGTAAGCTTTAATTATAATTAATATTATTATTTTATAACTTGTGTTAACTTATCTTTTTTTTTTAGAAATCTCGTCGCATGGAATGCGTATCTGGAAGCCTCGCTAGCTAAAGGAGAGGTCCAGCTCAAGGTCTTTACGATCAACCAGCACCTCCTGCAGCACTATCCCGCAATGATAGAAGCGTATGGTCCCCCCAGAGCGTATAGTGCACGATCTGTCGAGAGGGCGATTGGGGAATACTCGCGAGCAATAAAGAGTAATTCGGCAATTGGAATCAACGCTGGCAACATCATGCTTGGCTTGACACAGATTCGACAGATGAGAGTTGAAAATTCAAGAACGACAACAGCAACAGTAACAGCAACAACTCTCCTTCAGTATGACGATCCCTCTGCTGGTTGGCCAATTGACCGAGAAGGTAGTAATGTTGGTACTGATTCTGACATTGAGTTCTGGGGGCCTTTGAGGAACAGAACGATTGTTGATAGTTTTGGAGGCATTTCTTGTCTTCCAGAGCTTCTTCAAAAGTTCTACGAATCAAAGGGGGAAGAGTGTAGTATGATTGAAGCAGCCATTAAAACAAGCCGTAAGGCATTTGTAAATGGTTGTGTTATTGACTCTGCACTCGACCATAATTGTGTAAGAGAGGCACATAACGTCAGACTTCAGGGTTCAGGTTGATGAGAACCGCAACATTGGGTAAAGCTACTCTCCAGTCTACAAGGATTTCTTTGGGAAGGTCGTCGTTTTCTTTGAGCACAAGCTCAACAACAAGAGGTGGCCGCTTGTCCTTGTCAATGTTTATGCAGTTCGTTTGGTAAATAGTATACCAGCAATCAACAATAGGCAAATGAAGCCAATGGTAGTTCACCTGGCAGATGTCAAAGAATTAGTTGGTTTGGTGAAGTCGGACGCGACTATAAACACAATAACAACAACAGCAACAACATATGTAGTGTGGCCAGAGCTTAACCGCGGCCCAAAACTGTCACTTGGTTCTCTTGCAGACCCATAATTTTTTTTTTCTTGTAATACATTATTTTTTTTCAAATTGTCTTAACATATTTTATCCTCCCAGCAAAAAGTTTAGATATTTTTCTCTTTTACCTCTGACTTTTAATAGTCATCAATTGCAATCTACATTTACTAAAAATGTAAAATCTGTAGTTAAAATGTACTTTTGTCTATCAGGAGATTTAATTTTAGGTGGTCAATCTGCTTTTTGTCAACCTTTTCAAAAAACAGATTTTCTAGTTTCAAATTGGATTTTTGGTGATTTTTTAATTATTATAGGCCAAAAACAAAGTCACAAATACAAAAAACCGCCCCTATTTGTTGTAGTGATATATATAATTATATTAGTTATTATTTTTATAAACTTGTTGCTCTTGTTACACTTCTTATGTACTTCTTTAGAGCCTTTGATATTATATATATATACTTAAAAATTCTTGGATGACATTTAACCATTTTTCTTTGCTTTTTGTTTCTATTTCTACATAAAAAATAAATAAGAACAAAGAAACTCAACTGCTCAACTTAACCCAACTTAACTCAACTCAATATTGCGATTTTGTGTGCCTGGAGTTTTCTCATTATATAACGCACACATATATATATACATATACATACCTATATATATTATTTCTTATTTCTTATTTATTTTATTTATTTTTATTTTTTCAACTCAATCTTGTCATGAGTAACACAGCTCCACCTTCTGTTCATCCATCACCTTCATCATCATTAGAAACCATTCGCCATCATCCAAATGAAACTCCCGTCAATATACCCAATTCAGACAGCCCCACGGCTGAAAATCTATCAGAAAGCTACCAGCCACACGACATCCACTCTTCTTCGTTCCTGAGCAGCTTTCAGTCTTCCAATCAAGGCCAGTCATCTTTCACCCGACGACTGGCTGACCGAGGTGTGGCTGTGCCATCTTCATTCGGTTCCTGGCAACATCTTTCACCAGAAGAAGAAGAAGGAATAGGACACGAAGAAGACGAAGACGAAGACGAAGACGAAGACAATGAAGCAAGAAAAAGAAAAGATAGAAAAGATAGAAAGATGTCTGTGGTTATCGATCCTTCGTTTTCATCCTCGGGATCTCTTTCGACCGAACTCGATTCAAGTGCTTACTACGGCCTTTCGCCTCTTGTGACAACCTCATTTGCATCCGGACTTTGCGAAAACAGTCTCAATGATCCATCTCACTACACATCCCTTCGACACCGTTACGAGCGCGAGAGTCATCCAGAGGAATCGCCTCTGCTAGAAGACCATCCCTGCAGACTGCCGGCCCTAAACCAGGTGAGCCGGGTCGGAAACGAAGACAGCGACATTGAGTTGTCGGATGATGATGCCACGGACAAGGCTCATCTCAAACACTTGACCATACCACAGCCATTCTTGCACAACGCAGCCCAGACTCGGCACCGTCAAGAGACTCTCTCGAAGCCACGGTCGCCTTCACCCCTTGGATATCGTATTTCGGCTGAAACGGGGGTCTCTGATAGATCTGATACAGACACACCTGGAGAACGAACAGAAAATGAAAACGAAAACGAAGACAAAAGCGAAAACGAGAAAGAGAATGGAAATCTAATTGAAAGCGACAATGTAAAAGAATACGATGATAATAAGCAAGGTGGCGAAGATAACGAACGCGATAATAAGAATAATAATGAAGAGGAACAAGAAGAAGCAGCAACAGAAGATGCTGATGATAATGATAATGATGGAGATGGAGATGGTGAGGAGGAGGAGGATGAAGACGAAGACAGAGACGATGAGGATGATGATGAAGAAGAAGAGGAAGAAGAAGAGGAAGAAGAAGAAGAGGAAGTGCAAGTGAACGTAGCCAACACAAAATTCAAGACTGTCAGCATAAATGCACCTTCTCCAAGAACAACCGACGGAGCTTTAGATGCTCTGGATTCACTCTGGAAGCAATCTCGATTAATTAAAACAGAAAAAACAGCTGTAGATAATGCAGATACTTTGTGGCGTCAGGCACGGGCAGCCAAACGAGAAGGAAGTAGTAATATGATCTTACCTGGCGATGGCTCGATCGATAGTCTTTTGAGAATGGCACGAAATAACAACATCAACAACAACACTTTTCAAAAACCAACACTTCAGCCCAAGAGTGGACTGAGATCGCCTCGAAAACACCTCTTGCAGGCTCCTGTACTCCAGGTAGTCTATGCCAGCACCATAAAAGACCGCTACCTGTTTCTTTTCAGCGATCTACTACTGATTTGCAAACCCATTATGGACGAGAGCATAATTGTCAGCAGTCCGATCAATCCAGACAGCGAGAGTCGGAGTAGGTTCAAATCTACAGAGAGTAGCCTTTTTCAAATAAAAAACATTGTCGAACTGGCCCAGATGACACTGTTTCTCTCGCGCGAGGACCAGCCTTCTTTTGATAATCGACATTCGATGAATAATAGTCCTGGTGCAACTGGCTCAGGAGTAGGAGCAGCAAGTGGAAGTGACAAGATAAGTGGTGGTGGAGTGCGTCAATCATTACCTGCTCCACGCAAGATGCATCCAATGCTGGTGACTGCCTTGCGCAAATTTCAAACCAGTGCCGAATCCGGCGTTGCATACCTGATCGATAAAAATGTACTCATTCAAGAACCCCTCAGTATTGCCGGTTTTCTATTCAAGACCCCTGATCTCAGCCGCCGGCAGCTGGGCTACTATCTTTCGGACCGAAACAACAACGATATTTACGAAGCATTTTTGAATTGTTTCAGACTGGTTGGTCTGCGGCTCGACGAAGCTCTAAGAATCCTCTTGACAACCTTTAGATTACCTAGTCAATGGGAAAACATAGAGTACATCATTGAACAGTTTGCCAAAAAATGGCATGATGCCAACCAGAACGTGATCAAGTTCCATGAAGACATGGTTGTCAAAGTCATTGTGGCCATGTTGTTCTTAAATGCCGAGATATGGTACGACGCCAGTAAAGAGCGAGACGTGTTCTGGTTTGCTCGTGAGCGCAAAGAACGCGAGGACCGGTTAAGACTGCTGCGTCGAGGAAGTATTGATGTCCACAAGCACCGAGGAAGTGTTGCGTTTGAGCCGCTGCACTACATCACCTCTGTGCGCACAAAGGGGTCACGCCGTCCGACTGTCGAGGATTTTCTGGAGCGGTGGAAGTACTATGATCAGTACGAGCTAGTCGAGGCTGAGTTCCTCGAAGAGATGTATCGATCAATTGTGGCCGAGCGACTTGAGACCGGGTGGGATACGCGACCTGGAAAGACTGAGGAGCAAGAAACTGACATAGTGATTACGGTGGACGCAAATCAGCTCCCTTCCCGTCTGACAAGAAATGTGCCGTGCTTGCCGATCCGGATATCGATCCCCAGCCCGGATCCTGGACTGCAGATCAAATTGCGTGGCCAAGACCTGCTTTGCCAGCCAAATATCCTGGATTTCAGTCAATCGGCCGTTCAATCGTTCACGGTGACGGGGCACACGCTTGGAAGGACAAGTCTGATGTTTATCAAGTCGGGCTTTAACGCGGGACGTTATGTCAGTCCGACTTTGCCGCGTACCAAGAGTATTGTAGTCGAACGGCTCTTTATGCGCTACACGTTCCAGATTGGGTTCTATCCGGTCGAGCAGCCAGATCATGTGGAGGCCCAGATAATGCACAAGTACACTTTTAGCGTTGAAAACGAAGAAGAACGGAAGCTCTGGATAGACTACCTGAAGCAATTGTGCGGACGGGTTAGTGTTGGGCCGTTTGAGGCTCGACCGATGGCATCTCGGATGAGCTGTGAGGAAAAAGTGGGGCTCCAGGTGCTTCGGGATGTCCTGTTGGCAGAAGACGTTCGTAAACACAGTATGGTTCGATACAGTCTTTTTAACAAAGCAGGCACGCCGGCTCGGAATTCGGAAGATAAAGAAAAGGACAAGTCAGAAGAGGCGACTCTGTTGCCCAGTACAACCCATGCGGTCACCAAGCGTGGCCATGAAATTGTTCATTTGGTTGTCCAGAATGCTCTCGTACCACGCATGCTGGGATTCCTCAAGCAGCAAATTCAATAGTAGCAATAGTAATTCTATTATAATTTCTTTTAAATAATAATAATTCATCATCGTCATCATCATCATTTGTTTTATATATATATAAAGAAATAATACGCACACAATTATAATCATACAAAAAAAAAGTTTATTTTTGCTTTGGTCCTTTTTTTTATATGTGTAGCTATGGATACATATTCTGTATGATTTTTCAGTTTAAGCTTTTTTTTAGCCTTTTTATTTCTATTTTATTATAAAATAAAAATAAAAATAACGCATTTTTTTTATATTTATATTTATATTTATCTTTTTTTTTTTCGGTTTCTCTTTACCACTTTTAGAACTGTTCCAATTTCTGGTTTAATTTTTTCTTTCTTTCTAATCCCACACATAACAAGAAACACCAAAACCCTAAATATTTTAACCTCTCTCTCTCTCTCTCTCTTTCTTTCCTTGCTTCTTTCCTTTTCTTATTTTGCTTTACAATTGAAAAAGACACCTTGCTTCTGAGCACCTTACCAAATCAATGTCTGAATTGATCACAACAAGTGTGATCCCTACCAGCTCAGGATTCGTCCAAGGCTTTGTCAATCCTATGCACGACATCCATACGTTTCTGGGTATTCCTTATGCCTATCCACCCGTAGGAGATTTACGATTCCGTCCTCCGGTTCCCTTTGTCGACTCGAGCGAAGAAATCAAGATTTGTATGGAACATGCTCCGGCTGCCCCACAGACCCAGATGCCCTTTGACACTCTCATGAGTGTTGAGATTGACAACCAGTCTGAGGACTGTCTCTATCTGAACATCTGGGCTCCTGACACAGAGCCTGATTCAAAACGACCTGTGTTGATCTGGTTCCATCCAGGAGCCTGTATGAGGTGAGAAAAAGAAGGGGAGGAATCTATAGATATGTGCATGTGCGCGTAAATGCAATGTAGTGTGGTGTAATGTATTTGGAGGACATTCAATGATTTTTCGGCTATATAATACTAATACTAACAATGGTATATAATGTAGCGGAAGTAGTAGTCAAGTATTCTGGGATGGAACCAATTTGGCTAGAAACGACATTATAGTAGTTTCATTCAATTACCGTCTAGGCGCTCTTGGATGGACTCGTCTGGATCACTTGTCGTCAGATTTTGAAGGGTCAGGAAATCTTGGCTTATTGGATCAAATTGGTGAGTAATTTCATTATCCTCCAAATCTAATGAACTCATCCTTAGACACGTATACACACATATATGTATATATATATATATATATATATGTGTGTGTATCCATTTCTGTACTTTGTGTGCCTGATTAATTCATGTCAATATTGTCACACTAACTTACCTTGACTTGACTTGACTTGGATTGGCTTGGCTTGGCTTGGTTTGGTTTGGCCTTTCCTTTTTTTGTTTGTACTCACACAGAGGCTGTGAAATGGGTCAAAGAAAATATTGCTTCTTTTGGTGGCGACCCTGATAACCTCACTGCTTACGGTGCTTCAGCTGGAGGTAAACTTTAAACATAAAGAAAAACTAGCCTATAAAATATACAATACACCCCTACAAATATATACATATATATGTGTGTGTGTGTATGTGTGTGTACGTGTACGCGTGTTTTAATCAAAAAAGGTGTATGTGCGTGTTTTTATATACGATATAATAAACCATGATTAGCTACCACTATCATGGCTGCAATCCTTTCCCCAACTGCTGCCGGGCTTTTCAGGCGTGTGGTTCTTCAATCTCCTCCGATGTTCATGGCAAATCCTAGCGACTGGGCTGCAACAAAGGGCAGCCTAATGCTCCATTCGCTGGGTGTACCCAAAGACGATGTTGGCGAGATGCGTGACGTCGATGTCCAGAGTTTCTTGGAGGCCCAGACTTTCATGACCACCTGGCCCAATTTCCTGGAAGGTTTGGCACCGATTGGGCCGTCGGTTGACGGGACCGTTCTTCCCACAACTCTAATGGAGCACTTCTTGCACAAGGCTTTGCCAAAGGGTTACGAAAACCTCGAGATTATGATTGGCTTCACACGCGACGAATTCAATTTCTTCTTTCCGTTCTTGCCAAACTTCCAGGACATGGATGATTCGATGTTTGTCCGGACTTACTTTTCGCATATCTTTGGCCACAAGAACGCCCGCCGAGCCTACGAGATCTACCGCGACCAGATTGTACCCCCTTCGTCTCCACCAAGTGAGGTGGCTCGCTACATGGCTTCGGATGTAATGTGCAGAGTCTCGACTCTCTTGACAGCCGAGAATCTGGCCAGGCACGGCCACAAGGTCTGGCTGTACGAATGGGACTATGAGTCCAACGATGTCGAGAACATCATCAAGGCTGCACATATGGTCGATGCCATCTATTCCTGGGATAATCTCGAGTACTGGGTCGACAATCCGTTCCTTGGTCCTGGTGACGACGTAGAGCGCGACCAGATTGCCAAGCAGATGTCTCGAGCAATCGTGTCCTTTGCACGGTCCGGAGATCCCGACCATCCTGGTATTCCTCATTGGCCAGCATACTGTCAACCCGGTAAAGAAACCGAGCGGGATGGCATGGTGTTTGATCAAGAGGTTCGCGTCGAACGCAATATCTATGATCATGGCCTGGCATTGTGGAAGACACAGCTCAAGGAGTATGTTAGAAACCAACTCTGTCCAATTAAAGCCAAGGAAGAAACAGCATCATTATCATCTACTACTGATGATGCTGCTAAAGACGTATCAGAACCTGAAGGATCATCGGTAAGTTTTTTTTTTTTTACATATTTGGTTACATAAAATACCAATTAGTAGAAATATTTCTATTAAAAAAGAACATTAATACGCACACACACATATAACTCAAAACAAAACAAAACCAAAAAAAAAAGGGCAAGAAACGCAAGATTGATGCTGTGTAAGCGGATTGGATTTGTAAATGATATCAAAAAAACGTGTTATATTACAAGTGAAAATAGTGCAAAAAAAAGAAAGAAAGAGAAAAAGAAAGACCCGGACAAGTAAGAAAAATAAGAAAACATCGTATGTAATAAAGATATAGAGAAACAGAGCGAGCAAGCGATATAGCAAGAGAAAGGAAGTAATATAGAGATATGAAATCATTACAGAAATGAATACAGTGAATGAAAGTCGAGAAAGGAATAGGTGTAGTAGAAGAAGAGGTTTTGATGGAAAAAGGGGTAGGGAAAAAGTTAAAGGTGGGATCATTATTATTCTTAGTATTATTCTTATTAGTAATTTATATATATAACATATATAATTGGTTTCTCTTGTTCATTTCTTTCAAAATCCAGATCGCACTTCATCCATCCATTTGTCATGGCGCATGCGTAGTTCGCCTACAGGCATGTGCGGTCTGTGTTGGATATCAATGGAAAGTGGGGCGATGATGTTGTGACCGTGCTGTTGATGGTATCGCAGCCCATTGGGTGTACGATATGATTTTTTACAGCCAAGTATTTGACAGTGATGAGGTCTTTCTCGGCTATTTAATGAACCTGGACCTGTATTTGAGCCTGAACCTGAATTTGAAGTAGAATCTAAAGTAAAGAAGAAAAATATCATAATCATCATTAGTATCAGTATCAGTAGTCATTATTAAGCATCATTAACAATTACTCTCGTCTGGGACTGCATGACTTGACGAGCCTTTTGCTTCTCTGAGATGGTACTGTAATCCATTGATATTCTTGTATCGTTTCGCGCAATTTGGCATTGCACATCTGTAAGGTTTCTCAATTCCGTCTAGACACGGATGAATTGTTTTCATGTGCAAAAACAGCCCGCTGGACTGTGGGAATGTAGCGTAGCAGCCAGCCATGTCGCACCCATAGGGGCTGTGATCGCTGTGAGGATCTTCGACCCGGCTGAGGGAAGATGAAAACTGGGCCAATACAGAGGGGTCCTGGAGCATTGAGCTGAGAGGTAAAGGTGGGGCGTGTGTTTGAGTTTGATTTTGAGGGTGAGAATGAGTGTTAGAGTTGGCGTGAGCATGAGCGTGATTGTGAGAATGAGGAGAAGACAGGGGAGGGGATGCGTCGGGAGTTTGAAAGCGTGTGTAATGTTGATCCGCAAGTCCGTTGACAAACGATGATGTAGCCGTGGATGTTGCGACGGATTCTTTCTGTTTCTTGATTTGGACCATGCGTTGGAGCTTACGCCATCTGTTACGACAGTGCAACCCTGGTCGTCCATCAAAGAACTGGGCGATTCGCTGCCACTGTGAGCCAAACAAGTCGTATTTTTCCATCAGACGAGCGTCTTCTTCTGCGCTCCAATCGGACCGGTCGATAGAAGGATCCAGACTCTCTCTCCAGCGTTTGGCACACTGGTCGTCCGTCCGTCCCTCGAGCATGTCTGCAATCTTACTCCATTGGTTGGGGTACTTTGTCACACCTTCGCGCAGCAGCTGGTCCTCTTCGTCTGTCCAGGTACCCTTGCGTAGTGAGGGATCGAGCGAATGGAACCACCGTTTTCGGCAGTTCTTGTTTGTCCTGCCTGGCACACAGGCTGCAATCTTTGCCCACTTTTCGGTCTTGTCGCCATAGAGCTGAACAGCCAATCTCAAGAGATTGTCTTCCTCTGATGTCCAGGGTGCTCTTTCCTGGCCCTTTGTGAAGCCGTTTGGTTTCTTGGTCGACAGTGAAGGATGTAGTGATGTAAGGGAAGTTGGGTGAAGTGGTGGAAGTGTGGTCGGTAGGTCTGGGGTTGATGTTGTAGGACTGTGTACGATACTGCCGATGTCAACTGGGTGATAAGACGTCATGGGATGCGATGGTTGAGTAAAACTAGCCACTATGTCATGATGAGATTCCATCTACACACATACATACATACATATATAAATGAAGTTTGTTTTTTTTTTGGATAAAGAATAAATATAAAAAAAAAGAGCGTTTAATGTGTCTATATGATTTATAGCATTAATTCATTCATCAATTCATTATCTTTAGTGTTTACTGGTTGAAAACACAGTATCCCCCCTCTTTGCACATCCCACGCACACATCTTGTATATTCCCTTTTCTTTGTCTACTTCTTTTGTTTTTTTATATGTACTGGTGTATGTATACGCTTTTATAGTTAACCAGACCACAGAGACAACAAAGAAAACAAATCTTGCTTTTCTTATCTCTCTATCTCTCTGAGTATCGTATTATAAATAAATAGTATATATTGTATATGTAAAGATAAAAAAAGGAAGTAAAAGTTTGAAAAGTTTATCAAATAAATAAATAAACTACTTACAGAAGAAAATGTTCCAAAATGGTGACTCAGAGATGGACTATCGGGTCTAGTTATCGTTTGACGCATTGATGCCAGACTGTATTGATTCTGGAATGTTGATGGCGATGGTGATGTTGAAGAATTATTATTGGTGTTGTTGTTGTTGTTGCTGCTACTGCTGCTACTGCTGCTGCCATTGCTGCCATTGCTGCTGTTATTATTATTACTATTATTATTTGAGTCTGGTTTGGATACTACTGGTTGTGCCTATTATATTTTATATGGAAATGAAGAGAGCAAATTGTTGTTGTTAAATTAAAGATGTTATTATTCTTATTTTGCTTAGTAAGTTTAATGACTTAATCTTACAGGCAAATGGTGTTGTGATAAGAATGCAAAGGTTGGTAGACTCTGAGGATGTGTTGAACTGGTCTGTGCATCTGTCATGTTGGGATACGAGTAATCGATGGGCAGGTCTTGTTTGTCGTCATCCTGCTGCTGTCGAGGTTGTCCGTAACACAGATTATGGTACTGAAGAGATAACAACAAGTCAATCGGCCGTGTCATCGGCTCTCCTTCCTGACCAGAAAGGGAGAAAGGGACAAAAGAAGGAGACATACCATGCCTTTTCTTAAAAAAAAAAATCAAAAAAAAATCAAAAAAAAAATCCGCTAAAAGAGGGTTTTTTTTTTTGGACTCGGGTTTTAATGGTTTTTTTTTTTTTTTGAAAATACACTTTATTTTATTTTATCTTTTTTTGTCAACTAATGTCGGTGATTTAAATCTTATAAAAAAAGAAAACAACATCAGAGATGGACGTCAGCAAATAGGCGTCATTCTTTTTTCTTTTCTCTTTTCTTTGATCTCTTTTTTTTTTTTTTAAGATTTTAACTATTTTTATGGACACGACTTTTTTGTAATTTGTGTGGGTTCTATATTCTTTATTTTATTCTATATTTTTTTTATTTTTTTTGCTCTCTTCTTTTTAATAGTTATTTACCCAAATATCTGGACTGGTTTTTACAATATACTATCCCTCTTACACAACTAAGAATTATAAGGGACCCGATGTTTAAATCATTTTCCTTCCCCACATTTTACTATTCTTGTTTTAATTGGACAATTCAGGATGTGACTCAAGTGGTGTCCAAGAAATTCATACTCCAGCCATAGTAAAATAATATATATAATCTAGAACGAGTATGTAAGAGAAATATAGTGAAATAATTTTGGCTCTCTCGTTATTATCATTATATCAAATTTTGACTTTATTTCTGACCAAATCCCATGCCACACCTTCCAAGCCTTTAACACCAAAGACCATTTTGCTGTTTTATTTCCTGTCCAACGATTATTCAGAAAAGACACCTCTCTCTCTCTCTGGTGTATATTATTTTTCTGTAGATCAAGAAGCCTTTTTCTAAATTCAGCTTTATATATCTTATACCAGGCTTATGGAGGGTGACTTATGCGCTGGAAGTAAGTAACAGAAAAACTACTTTGAAAAAGAAGAAGTAAAGGTACAAAGAGTTGTGTCATGATAAAATTATTGAAATAGTGAGGATATTGCGGATTCTATACTACTTGTAGAATGCTGGAACCCGAATTCGTGATTTCCTGTTTCTTTAACGGATGTGGTATGAGGATTTTTTGTGCTGTTTCGGTGAGTGTAATGAAGGATATATCGATGAGTAATGTTTCCAAGACTGAGAAACGGTGCAACACATATTCTATTTTAACACATTTGACAAAAACAATCTTTAATTCATATAGTGCTAGAAAATTGTAAATCTTAGGGGACAGGGGGTTTTTGGATGATGGGGACAGGGTGTTACACAAACTAACAGTGAGTAGTCCGGCAGACATTCATCGTTTCTGTGTGTAACACCCTGCCCCCATCCAGTACAGGATTTCCACTCCAAAAGTTATATATTTTTTCAAGCTATATATTTTCCAAAATCAATATTTTTATTTTATGCTTCGACTATAGGTGTAAGAGAAATAATTAATGCTGATAAAAAGAAGTGTATAATAATATAATAAACAGCATGTAAAGATACTAAGATGTGCTATAAAATATTTAAAAAAATGTCTACACTGTTTATTAAAGAAAATATAAGAATAAGAGTCCATAACTTCAGCTGAAGCAATTAGAACGCTTGGTGTTTTGTGGGCGCCGATAAACATCATCATCGACAAGTTCGAGAGAGAGATGGCACTGTATATCTCAGGAAGCGAGGTGGATCTTGTGAAGAAAGTTAAAATATAACCGATAAGCATTCAAGGTTCATCCAAGATCTTTTGGACGAACACTGTACCCTAACTCTTGGTCAAATAAGAGACAAATTGCTCCATAATTTACAACACCACCTTCATTTTCTTCGCCCACACTCTCCTTTCCTCAATCCAATTGAAGAGTGCCTTTCAAAACTCAAGACACTTGTCAAGAGAAAGTCTGTGTTGGCCTGTGGTCCATTGTTGGAGTATATCGCTGAGTGCATCAGCCATATTGCTATGGAAAACTGCCAAGGCTGGGTTGATCATAGCATTAGCTTCTTTCGCCAATGTACAAATAGCCAAGAAATCAATTGAATTCTTTCTTGTGTATATAGTCAAAGCATAGAATAAAAGTATTAATTTTGCAAAATATATAACTTTTGGAGTGGAAATCCTGTATTTACTGACTTTTATGTGTATGTGAAATGAAAAAAAAAGATAAAGAAAGGAAGAACTTTTTTTATTGATTTTGGATTGCCCATGCAGGGATCTTTGCAGACAGGTTACGAGGCACAGGTGTATCCTTAATGGATGTCAGGCGTCCGATCATCCTTGGCTTTGACATGGCTGTCACCTGTAGCTCATCATTGGTTTGCATTATCTTATCAATGATGCCGAGGAGCCTGTTGAGCTACATTTATTTTATTGAAGAATTTTTTTTAGTATTCAGTTCTTTCTTATCAAAGCATTCTTTTTATTCTAAGAAAATTACCTCATCGCTCCTCCAGCTGGGACGAGCAACCCGAAGAGTACGCTGCTTGTACCCTGGAGAGATCACCTCACTGTCAGATTCTCCATCTGACATCATGTCTTTCTCAATGAGACGCTCATAGGCCTTCTCATCCGGGTTACCCTACTTGTACCCCATCTTGCGATCAATGATCGGCCAATTGTCATTATAAAGTCCAAGACGGCGCAAATGAATCTAAAAAAAAAATTAAACAAGAGCAAGTTAAAAAGAGATTCTTTTTTTTTATAGTTGATATAATTACCTCTATCCGTCTACTGTTGGAGCGCGTTTTACGGTTTTTGGCCGTTACTTGGGCAGGAGTCATGTTCATCGTCCGGTAAATGTACTTGTAGTTGTTTTTTATCTTCTCAACTACAAGTCCAGGCCAAACACCAGCAGCCGTTGGCTGAGAGAGAATATAATCTCTCAAGTAGTTGATGACCTCAACATTGTCGGTATGGTCAATTCTTTCATTAGTGTTCCATCTCTTCTTGCCCTCGTTTTCAGCAATTAGCACCGGGTCGTTAGAGGCGAAGTTTATCTGCAACATTCTATTATCTAAAATAGAGCAAAAATAGGGATTCATCAATGAGAAAGAAAGAGAGAGAGAGAGAGAGCTGTTGAAGTTTGCTATTTATTATTTCATCTGATGCAAGCCCCCCCCCCCCCCCCCCCCCCCTTTTTTTTTTTGCATTGATTCATGCAAAACAATCTGAGCCACTTGTTTTTAGTAAGGCTAATATGATTTTTCTTGTTGAACAAGAAATACCGATGATACTTTGCCTGTATAATTATAAGGCTATATAAAGCCCAGTTTTTTTATAATTCTAATATTGTTTCGCCCTTTTCTGCATATATATTCTAATACAACAATACCTCCAAAAAGAAGTAAGAACACTGAAAACAGCAACAAGAGATTGCGGATTAAGCAATAGGGGTTTCAACAGTCCTTTAAGCTTTTAAACTTAAGCTTTGAGTTTAAATTTCAAAATATAATTGGCTGAAATTAATTTATAACTATTAAAAAAAAATTGAAACTCTTAAAAGAAACCCTTTGAGAGCTTTAAACTTTTAATATATCTTTGCTTTAAAATGTAATAAAACACTGATTTAAATATCTTTATATCTTTACCTACTACTTTAAACTTATACCATTTTATCACAATGCCTAATAGAACTGAAAGAAGCATTTATGTTACTCAAAACCACTCAATAGTTCTTACATATTATTGGTTAATATTGTAAAACTCAGCCTAAGTTTAAAATTTTAAAGGACTGTTGAAACCCCCTATTATGCAATTTTTGCTGATAATCTTTTATGGTTACTATACCACTAAGAGATATGCCTTTGAATGGTGAGTATAGGCACTTGGAAACCATATAAGCTGAATCACCATACAAGACAAGTGTCAGTTTGACATCTGGTACAATATCCAAGTACTTTTCCACTCCTACTTCTGTTTTTGGCATAGTATATATGTACTAAATGCCTCAAACTAACATATGGTCTAAGCAAACTGCTTGTGATCCCATCATGAGTGACGATAGACTGTTACTTCAAGGCATGCATGTGTTCCCAGCCATTGTAAAAGTCTTTTTGAACTTTATTACCTTGACTTGGCCTTGCTATTTCTTGATTGGTACCTGTGGTATACACACCACAATTGAGTGAAGAACAGACCCCACAACCAAACACTGGTTCATTCTTGCTAATGAACCTGACAAGTTAACTATCTTCGGAACTATTACACACCAGGCACACGTACACTACACACTTATAAAGTGTAAACCAACCACTATACAACAAGGATTTGAATGGTAACAAATATAAACAATATTATTTTGTCTCTTTAATAAATAACACTCTCACAGTATCTTATTTTCCCATTATTGAGATACTAGCTCATAAACAATCCAGAATATTTCAATGAGCAACACCCTTGTACATATGGATGTTGGTCTAGAAAAAAGATCCTCTCTTTTAAGGTAAGCATACAATGATTTTCAGGATACGTTCTTGACCAAGGTACTTACATCTTATATATAAATATACATACCCAAAATGTTGGAGTCCATTCCGAGACCCGAAGAGCATGATTGTCAGGATATCTGGAGCCTTTACTGGCCCCATGATCGCCCAACAGTAACCTTTTTTTTAGCCAATTTACCAGAATTAATAAATCTATTGTCCAAATTCGCAATATATTCACACTCTAATAACCCTGTACTCTATCACATGAATTACATTTTCTATTTCTTATCAAATTATCTATATTCTAAGTTATCATATATGCCAACCATTTTCAAATTGTCGGGTACTATACTAAATTCATGGTTAAAGTAGTATCACTTTGATCAAATGAGAAAACGTTTCCAATTTTTTTTTTGTGTTATGTTGCACTTTTTTTTTATTTTAGATTTGGAAAATTTCAAAAGTTTTCCTTATAAAGCAATAATTTAAACTTTTCCAAAATGCATGAAGGTCTCGAATGCTTTATTCCAATGAAGCAAGTTGTATTTATACTATCTTAAAGGGACTTTGCTGGAGGTTTTCAGGTACCTGGAAACTCCCTGAAAAGTTTAGTACCTTAGAGAAGGGCTGCGTTGGATTGGCTAGATGAGGATCATATTCCACGAACGACATGATCACGACATGGTGTATTTGTGACTAATTGTTTTTTTGCGGTTGCGTCCAGCTTCATGTCACAAACAGCGATTGTCCGTTATAAGTCAGGGACACCAAATATAATTTCAATTAAAAACCAATTCCATGGTTAGAAAAGGTCATTTCAACATACTGCAACAGATCAACACCCTATAGACGAGACAGTTGGTAAGCTTTTGACAGTCCAGGTCATCGAACAGTCACTGACCCAAGACAACAGGTCTCTTTTTCCAGTTCTTTACCATCAAAGAGCCGAGCAAGATTTGACAGATTTTTGATTGCCGGAGGGTAAACCATTTTATTCAATATTGACATTTCAAGGTGGAAAGCGCTCCGGCTTTGAGAGAATTGATAGAAGAACAAAATTTATTTTAACCAAAATCGATCTGAAAGACACTAATCTAGTAGTCCCAATTCACCAAGAATTGCGAAAATATCTCTCATTCTGATACCAGGGGCCGATATAGCAATACCGTTCACTGGAATTTTGACTAAGTGTGGCACCAAGATTGTTTTCAAAGCCAATGCGATTTGTCTGGGAACCACTCCGTCAGAAGGCGATACGCTTGAATTACTACTTGGACAATATTTGCAAATTAGCCAGAACAAAGGACGAGATGAAAGAGCACAATAGACAGGTATTCGAGCAATTGACATACTTGGGGTTTATTAGCAATTACCAGAAGAGCGACTTTCAAGCGAAGCATGTCTAGGATTTCTTCATACTTACATTCAACACAAATAAAATAAAGATAATGGTACCACAGACAAAGGCGAACAAACTCTATTCCCGTATAAAGCAATTACAGCATAATTGACAAAGGAGACCATATTTATGTAGGTGGATTGCGGGGATGTTGGAGAAGATGATAGCTATTATCCTAGCTATGGGGAAAACCTTGCTTCATATCAGGTACTTACAGCGTGACCTTCCAGTGAGCCCACGGCACAATTAAAACAAATAGGTTAAACTGTGCATGATGCCTTTGTTATCGATGAAAGAGTCAAATTAGTGGATAACACAAAGCCAGAAGAAAGATGGATTGCCGATAGCGACACGCACAGACAATGAAGACAAAGACATATTGAATACACGGTCAGTATCAATTATACACTATTTTGCACACTATCTTTAAATAAAGAATATACTAATAAAAAGGTCATACACCTTAGTCAATGTCGCTTATCACTCGAAAAATAGCGTGGGCAATAGCTTGACAATATCTTATCTAGGATAGAAGAAAGCAGGCATTACATGATATACTCATATCATCACCTTAAACGCAGAATGCAAATATCGATAGAAGATTATATTATTCTCTTTTCTTTTAATTAAAAAAAGAGTCTCGCCATATTTCTCTTCACCTCTTTGTTTTATTTATTTTTTAATTATAACAAAGACATAGCTGAAGGGCTTCTTGGTGAGGTTATCGAAAACGAAGTCATATCCGAAGTTGGAATTGAACCAACAGCAATTGTGTTAGGATCAACACACAATGGCAACGTTGGTAAAATGAAGACCGAGGATGGGGTAGCTACCCGCCCTAGTTTAACTTGGAAGGAGTTTCTTCTTCGGTTCTTTTAGACAAAAGAATATTTTCAAAAAAGAATTGTTTATTGTTAGGGGACATCATTCGTGAATAATTGTCGGTAATGAAAAAATAGGTGAATCTTTATTTTGGCCAATAAGATGTATTTGCGAATGATATCCTTTTTACACAAAAAAGAAAGATGGCCCGGTTGTTTATAGCAACATATTTTATTTTTTTGTATTTCTCGACTTTCACCCCTTTGAAAAAAGTTCAGCTTCAAAATGAACTCTTTTTTTTATTACCGACAATTATTCACGAATGATGTCCCCTATTATTTATTTATTTCTTACGTTAATTATTAGAGAAAAGGCATTTCTTTTCCTCATTTTGCTACCAATAATTAGCTTGCGAAAAGCTTGCTGCTTACAAGAAAAGTATAAAGAGAGGAATATAGCAGAAAGTTGTGTCTATTATAATCTGAGGATAAAAACGCTGCTAGGAAGCCTATAGTCACATCCTCTGTCTTCGTTTCACCAATGTTGTCATTTCGATACGAATATTCTGTAATAGATGGAGAGGTCTAAACCGGAGGTTTAGATCTACAGTATCAAAGAGAAATAATTGGGTTGACGAAGTGAAGCAATCTAAAATCCCACAAATCGTATTAGTTAAAGGGAAAAGACTAAATGATAGGCTAATGACTGATATTCTATTGGCTTAGAGAGGTTGCGTCTCTGGTGTAGTTGTGATTCCGTGTTTATTATTGAAAACAAAGAAATATATATATATATATATAGTTCGAGTATTATATGATGATATAAAGGAGAACAGAAGGAAAGGATGGAAAGTCTGGTTATTCAATTTTGGGTAAAAGATCAAATTTTGATAAATTTGAATAAAAATAGATAAAATAAAAAAATAAAAATAAAATAAAAAAAAAAATAGAAAATTTGAATATTCAATCAGTCAGGCAGTCATTTATTTTATATTAATAAATAGTTATTTGTATTTATTATTCTCTCTATTCCTCTCTTCCGCTCTCTCTATTTCTCTCTCTTTTACTCTTCTTTACTTCTTTTTTTTTTTTGAACACCTCAAATCCTTTACCATTCAATTCCAACTCATTCAACAAATGGTTCAACCTCACCAAGCACGCTGGCTTGACCAGCCAATCAACAACAATAACAATAATAATAACAATGGTAACAACAACAATGGCAGTAACAACAATACCTCTGTCGATCCTGGAACTGCAAGGTGGGTCACCTTTGCCAAAGAACGCAAACCAAGACCGTCTCCAGAAACACTGATATCTTCAGCACCACCACCGCCACGACCACGACTATTAGTCCCACCAGCCATGACGATGTTCAATACGACCACTACATCCATTCCAACCAAAACAACAATAACGCGCTCTTCTAATTCACCTCTCGTTCAAGATTCCACTAGAGATCGCCCCTCTAGACAGAATCATGATAAATCCCACACCATTCGATCTACCTCCATCAGCCGGACACGCACTATCATTCCGGATCCACCACAATGCTTCTGCCGTCTGCCGGCATCTCAAATGGACACTGCAGAGTTTGGGATCATTTACCAGTGCCATCACTTTGATCCTTTGGAGCAATTAGAAGAAGACGAATACCACAGGGATGTGTGTGCATTCCATGTACACAAACGACCCTGGGACCAGTTTCGCATAGATCTCCAAGAGACCGGCTTTGTCGATTGTCACAGCCCAGAGCTCAGTGTTTGTTCGGCCTTCAACTTTACGTTCTGTGTAGTGTTTGAGACCTCGAATCCATATTCTAAGCGAACATACCCTCCATCGCCCTGCTTCTGCAACGTACCTATTATCGTCCACGAACTCCCAAACAACGGCAGGAAAAAAATTGCTTTCTCTTGCCAGAACTTTTACATTGATGGCGCACGCCCAAAGTGTTCCTGGTTCTTGTGGGCTGAACAAGTTCCGTTTAGGAGACCCAGACAAAACCTTCATGCTGTTCGTACTAAACCTCCAATACAAAATTCTTCCGCAGCAACTCCCATAGAATCTACCGCAGCTACACACTCTCTAATCACAGCGTCCAGAGTAACGGAGACAACCTCTCAAACTCAAACCCCAACCCCAACTCAAACTCCAAAAACAACGTCGGCTTCAACTACTATTACTACTAGCCCAACGCAAACTCCAACAGCGACTCCAACATTCACACCACCTCCTACATCTACACCTACATCCGCATCCGCATCCACATCCCTAGAAATACAAAGCGACGTTCATCAAAACACTCTGCTTTCGGCACTTATCAAATCAAACGAATCACCAAATAATGACAATGGTTCTGCTTCCACTACCTCCACTAATACCACTAGTGTTGTTGGTGAAAGTTCGACTTCTATTGCCAGTTATGATATTTCGTCCCTATCTTATCAACAATCGTCTCTTATGCGCTGTCTTCCAAAACCAGTTCCTGTTGTAGATGATCTGCAGCCAACATTACCAATTAAACAGACGAATGCTGGCTACGAAAATGAAGACTTTCACATCTACAGCAAACCAAACATCGGCATAGGACACATTATCCCCAGCACAGTATACAAAAACATGGTTTCGGGCACTTATCCTGTCGAAAGCATCGAATGGGAGCGCAGATTGGCCCTTGTGAAGGACAAGAGTGCGCGTGAGAGCCGGATTCTCAACGAGCGTCTCAGGGAACGCGAGAAATTTGTAAAGAATCTTCAGGGCGAATATGACAGTATGGTAGATAGACTGGATCGACTTCAACTGGAATACAACAACATTTCTTGTGCCCACCAATCGACTCTCGAGAGCTATGCAGCATGGGAAGCTGAAAAGAACAGCCTTCAAACAAAACGTGATAAATTTGAGAAAGAGACAATCAAATTAAAAAGATCACTGGCCGAAGAAGTCGAGTTGCGGTTGAGTAGTCAGCGAAGGGTTGCTGATTTGGAGTTGTCGATACTTGATCTGGCACAGAAAAACAAGGATCTTACCAAAGACAATAAGACTCAAAAGAAGGACCTTGAGAACAACTTTAAGGATTTCAATTGTCGCGTGTGTTTCCAAGAGCCGACTGAATATGCTCTTGTGCCATGCTATCATTATGGTAAGTTTCTTTTTATGTGCATTGTTAATTGTTACTTTTATTTTTTATACTGTATATATTTAATATATATATATATATATATGTGTGTGTGTGTGTGTGTGTGTGTGTGTGTGTGTGTGTCTGCTCGTGATAATTATATGGAGAGAGCTTTTTTTGTCTTTTTACTAATTTCTTTGTTTGTTTTCTATGTGCGCAGCTTATTGCTTATCGTGTGCTTCCAAGCTCACTGAGTGTGCTGTCTGCAGAACACCAAAGATCGCTATCCAAAAGGTCTATATCCCTTAATCTCAAATCGACTACACGACTACACGACTACACGACCACGCAATTCAGAAAAGAAAAGAAAACAACGCCAATATCATTATCAACATCGTCAACAACAATTACACCTATTACACTCGCTACAAAAGATACTTTATATATACTTACATATTTATACACACAGAGTGACAGATCGAAATAGAAATAGATAAAGAAGAAGAAGAAACCTAAGAAGAAAAAGAAGTAAAGAACACCAAATATCCACTCTATCAACATCTGCATTGCATTTGCCTTGTCTAACCTTATTCTGCCTACCATACTTTCTATCAATCTTACTTAACTATTACAATTACAATTACTTATTATACTATCCATACTTCTTCTTTTTCTTCTTTTCTATCTTTCTATCTTTCTTCCCCATCAGATTGCATTCCACCCAAAAAAATCAACACCATCAAAAACAAAGCATTATCCCTTTATCTATATATATATATATTTATATGTCTTCAACTTCTTTATTTATTGTTGAATCAAGCAATCCCTATTGCTTTATTCCAATATAGCACCTTCAAAAAAAAATAACCATTTTCTCTATCTTTTCCTTTTTCTTCGTACCAAATAAATGTATATATATATATAGCTTGTTCTTTAAAATATTAATATTAATAATTTCAAAAAATTATAAAAAAAAATTATATAATAAAAAAATAAAATCTTTAAAAAAAAAGAGCCACTTCCGAAAGAAAAGAAAAAAAAAGGAAGTGGCCAAACAAAAAAAAATCCGAAATCAAAAATCAAGAATCAAGAATCACTTGTTCATAGTCCTGGTCCGTGTATAGCGGATAATTACGCTTGGACAATGGGTTTTTTACCAGGCGTGGTCACAATATTTAGTGTATCCTTTGGTAGATCATCCTCCCGTAGGTCTCTATCTGGCTATCAAAAACCTGATCCGTCTACAAAAATGGAGCTTTCAAAGCAATCAATATCTGTTTTACTCTTTTCTTCAACACACACGTACACTATGTGTTTTGCAATTTTTGTGCGTCTCTTCAAGCTTTCCTATTGATCTATTAAATTTCCTGACTTGTTTTTTAAAAGATATTCCAGTCCTTGACGCCTTTGAGTTTCTTGGCCCACCTCTGTACTGTCCTTACTTCAATATTACCAGCTAATCTACAAGACTTAGCAGCATTGAACAATCTTAACATACTACAATAGAAAAATAGCAGTTTCTACTCATTGAATTATCTTTTATATTCCTTAATCTTCTGCTTTGTTTTAAGTGCAATCTCTTCTATTTCAACATTTAAGCCTTTATCAGGTGACTTTTGCTCTGAACCTTGCTTTTCGTAGTATAGCCTACGACGGGTTAGCGTTTCTAGGTGATAGGGGTCTACTTCCTAGTCCATTTAATCGCGCGCCCCCTTTGTCAATAATTCTTCATTACCCATTCATAAGATAGAGAGAGAGAGAGAAAAGGATGTAGTTATTTAAAGTTAGTAAGAAAAGGAAAACTGCCCTTTGAGATATAAAAGCCGCCTTTTGACAAAATGAAAGCCGCCCCCTTTTTTGAGATTTAAAAGAAACCCGTTCATTGGCGCTGTGCTTACTCTATGTATATTTTATTTCTCTTTAATTCTTAATTTCATATTATTTTTTTATTCTATTTTTATTTCATTTTTTTTTACATTTATACATACATACATATATACACATATTATACATATAGCATCTCTTTAAACAAATGAGCTCAAAAGGATCTGCAAATCGGTTGTCTCCAACCAAGGGGTCCGAAACAAATATGCTCGCTAGCGGGTTTAAGCGAACAGAACGAATTTCATGGACCCCTTTCTTGCGAGATTACATTTCAAACAGTTATGCAGAACATCCTGACCTTTACACAGATGACTTTCGAATCCTTGATGAACTACGCAATGACTGCATTTACCTGGAATCCAGTCAAAAAGGCCTCAACAGACTTATCAAGTAATAAAAATATAAATATCTATAAATATCTATATCTACATATATATCCTATATATCTATAGAATATATAAAGAATATATATATATATATATATATATCATCTATAATATAAATGAATAAAAAGTTATTACTATTACTATTATTTTGATATCAATATATGAATATATATGAATATATATGAATATATACATTAGTAATAATAATATTCATAATAATAATCATAGTGATTACAATAAGTACTTATAAAAAAGCTTAAATACTAGAATAATTATCATTAGCTAAGCTTTTCTTACAATATTTCATTTTCTTGAATAACTAATAATCAATATATATATACATAAATTTTATTTTCTATTAAAAAACCCCCCAATCGTTTGGCTTTAGATACTATGGACAATTAGTCTTTATCAGCTCAAAATTTCCTATTGATGTAAGCCAAATCTTCTTTTCTCTATTGTTCTTTAAATAGATTTGAGTATTTTTAAATATATCAATATCGTTCATTCGTTCATTCGTTAGGTGGGCTTATATTTTCCATGGTATTCTGTTTCTGGTGGATCGAATCAACCAGGCAAGTGTTCCTGCTGTTACTACTGCGGCTGTTGTTGTTGTTGTTGTTTTTTTCAAATATAAATATAAAAATATATAAATATGGGTGTGTGTGATGGTTTGTTAACTCGTGTGGTATATTTTAGTGGCCCATCGCAATATGAATTATGAAAAAGCGTGCATATTGTACAATATTGGATCCACGTACAGCCAGTTAGGAAACTCAGAAGATCGAGTTACAGCCGAAAGTGTCAAGAAAGCTTGCAATTATTTCCAGGTAATATATCCATATATATATATATATATATATGTATGTATATATGTATATTATAATATCACTATTACTATAAACTCACCCTCACACACACATACAATATATATGAATTATCTATTCTTTTCCAATTATCCAATAAAAAAATAAATTACAATTATAATCTAGAGTGCGGCTGGATGTTTTCGTCACCTCCAGGATGTCGTTCTCCCCGAGATGAGAACTGCTCCTACTGTAGATATCTCGCCGTACGCTCTACAGACCCTTATCAACCTCATGTTGGCCCAAGCACAAGAGTGTGTCTGGCAAAAAGCAGCCATGGACAAGCTGCGCGACGGCACCATTGCTCGTCTAGCCACACAGATTGCACAGTACTACGACGAAGCGCACGAGCTTGCCACCAACTCGTCCATCCAAGACATCTATCCGCCCCAGTGGCTTGCCCATATGCAAATCAAGGCTCTCCACTTCCACGCCGCAGCCCAGTTCCGCAAGGCATCCGAGTGCATTTCGCAAAACAAGTACGGCGAAGAAGTGGCTCGGTTGACGCTGGCCAACGCGCACGTAAAACACGCCTGCGATATGCTCAAACGACCATCGTCTGCCGCTGACTCCCACCAGGCAAAAAAAGTCAGCAGTGCGGTTGTCAACGATCTCAAGTCACTTCAGCAGATCATCCAGACAAACCTTGCCAGGGCTGAAAAGGACAACGATGTCATATACCTCGAGCTCATTCCATCGCCACTGGCGATCCCAGCCATCCAAAAGATCGTCATGGTCAAGGCTACACCACCTCCCGAAATCCTTGACCCTGTGTCACTGATGCTCAATAATGCCAATCACAAACTCGATAGCACTCCGCACGTCATCATTGGCTTGCCTCTTTTCCAGAAACTTGTTCCATTTGCTGTTCATCAAGCCGCAAGTGTGTACGTTGACAGAAAGGAACGGATAATCAAAGAAGATATCATTGGGCGTGCAGAAGAGCTCAATGCTGTGTATCACAGGTAAATCAAACAAAAAAAATCTTATAAAAAAGTATGTATATATATATATATATAATTATTATTATTATTATTATTATTGTTGTTGTTGTTGTTGTTGTTGTTGGAAATATTAGTACTTTGCAGTCTCTTAATTTGAACGCTGCTCTTTCGGAGGGTGTGGACCAATCCCCAGGTCTTCCGGAATCTCTTCTTCGCCAAGCAGCAGAAGTCCGCAGCAGTGGTGGGTCAAGAGCACTGTATGAGATGTGGGAACACATGCAACAAGCCTCTCTCAAGAACCTTGAGATTCTTGAAGATGCATTTAATGCACTAGATGAAGAACATGAAATGGATGAAACCCAGCGATCTCGTTACAGAGAACGTAAGTTGATTAAAATATATATACTGGGTTTCTGTGTGTTGATAAAGAAAGAGGAACCCCATTTATTTTTATTTTTTAAATATATATATATATATCTTTATTAGACTGGCCACGACCAGAATCCCATGTCTTGACAGGAAAATTGGTTGATCAAGGTCAAAAGCATCGAATTACTTTAGTATCTGCTCAAAAGGCTGATCAAACAGTACGTGCCAAACTTAATGCCTGGGCCAAGATTATGGATGTACTCGTGTTACCTGAAGATGAACTAAAGAGCTCTGTATTGGGAGCCTATGAAACCAGCAGTAACACTAATAATAATGGTACTGGTACAACTAACCGCCGGTCAGGCTCATCAAGTGCGCAGGAAGCACTTGACTGTTTGCGACGTGCTGTTGAAGAAATGAACGAGATCGAACGAGAGCAGAAGCGAATGGTCGAAAAGGCAAAGCGAACTTCAAATGCAGACGACATTTCGCCCACTCTTTTGAAAAAGGCCGCCCAATTGACGGCCAAATCTCCGACGACCAAGATTGATCCGGCAGAGTTTGAAGAGTTGTTTGTAAAAGAACTGCGGAAATATGACACATACCTGATGGCTTTAGACGAAAGAGAAGAAAGACAGAACCAACTTTTGAGTGAGATCATCGAGGCTCATCGTCAATACGAAGCATCGAAACAGAGTAATGTTCCTACTGGGAAACTCGAAAAGGCCCTTCAGAACTTGAACCAGGCTTATTATCAATACAAGGAAATTAAATCTAATCTCACTGAAGGCCTCAAGGTAAATAAGATCTAAATCTAGATAAATTATGTAGGGTGTACTTTTATTGCATTACATTATATTTGAAGTATTAGGCTGTAGTCCAATTCATGCAAAATAATCATATCTGTGTATTGATTTCTGGTTTTATTAGTTTTATGCCGGTCATGCAAAGGGTCTAGTTGCTTTTCGCAATACTTGCTATGATTACTGTTATCGTAGACGAGCAGAGTCTGATCAGATTGAAGAAAAGCTATCTGCTAGTCTGAGAAAAATGAGTCTTCAGAGCCACTACCAACAACCTCCACCACAGCAGCAGCACCAGCAGCAATCTTCCCAATCTTCCCAATCTTCCCAATCTTCCCAATCTGAATCTAGGCGATCTACACCTTTTGGTGTTAATCAAGATGATGGCACCAGAATGTGATTTTTTCTTTTCTTTTTCACATTACGTACTTTCTCTCTCTCTCTTTTATCTCCTCGTTAGAACTGTACACAGCATCCAACACCATTCTTTATGTCTCTCTATCTCTCTTCTTGACGCCATCTTCTTTTTGGAATCTATATAAAAAAATACATATATTATCTCCCTCTATCATTATTTCGACTCAAAATACCAAATACATATATATATATATATATATATATATAAACACAGTGGACATTGGCTGTTAAATAATATTGACCATAATGAAGTTTATGTTTTTCTTTATTTTTCTTTATATCTTTATTTCTTTATCTCTTTCTTCATATATTCTCTCTAACTGTTTTGCCAGCTCTGCCATGCTTCATAATAAGCCTTTAAAATAAAAATAAATAAAAGAAATATATTTTGTTTGGTGAATATTTTTGAATTGGTATATAGATATATAGACAAGTAGACCATTTACCTTGTATTCTTCAGTAGTCATATTTCTCTGGTCATCTTCCATAACCTCATTCAAGGGAACCATCTTTCCATTAACTATCAACATATACATGTACATTTAAATAGTTATTAATATTTATATTATGTGCATTGGTTCTTTAGATCCTTTTTCTTTACCTGATACTAGTGGAATTTCTTCAAATCCTTCGCCAATTTCTTCTACGCCTTCAGAGTCATATCTTCCCCGGTAACTAGACACAGCCATGATCACAAACAAATATATACATGTATTAATATAATTCTAGCTCTTAGATTGCTATTAGTATCCTCTGTATCATTGATTTACCTGTCATCTGCATCTAAATCCATATTGTAGTTGTTGTTTTGTCTTCCATTGGCATTATTCCCATTCATGACAGTTTCAAACTCGTCGTCTTCTTCTTCATGGCCATCAATATTCCATTCATTATCGTTAGCTGTGGACTCTGATGGGATAGCATGGCTCAATGACTCGTAGTATTTCTCGTAATCTATTTGACACAAGAATATCAAGTAAATAAATACACAATTCCATCTAAATATTTTTTAATACTTACAATCATGACGAACAGCGTCAAACTCTTCAGTTCCGGCTTCTTCAAAGGTTTCTTCATCCTCGTTCTCTACTGGTGCTTCATGCGAACGATCGCCAGTACCCAACAGCACATCAGACACAGTACTACGTTGATGCCAGACGGGTAATGCGTTTTGCTGTCGTTTCTCTTCAGCTTCCTGAAGTTTCTGTCGCCGTGCTGATTCGTTGTCCATCTGAAGATCGACAATAATATCACCTTGGCCTGCACCTGTATCCTGAGCAACTGCCAGTTCGTACTCATCTAAATTTTTCCGAGAGTAAATATAAAAGAAAATAGGAATATATAATGGCAGTGGAATGAGTATGGTAAGGAAAGGATTATTTGATTTTATGTTTGTAAGATGAGTAAATATTGGTTTAAATGAGATTCTCATTATCATTTTTATCAGTTTACCTTTAGATCCTCCACTACTCCGTACACCCACAGCTGAAGGTTTGAAAATGTAGCTAAAAGTGTGCATATATATTTCATTTCAAGTCAGTATTTTCTTCGGCTATCTGTTTACATATATTAGTAATCAATTGGTTACCTTGATGGAATAACAAGAGAGTCGGTTTGTTTCAGTAGGTGGATAATCGGCTGTGATTGTTCTTGCAATCTTTCGGTTGTTGATAGTAGTCGTAGTAGTAGTCGTAATGGATAGATAGATTTAACATTAATTTAATATCTTAGAGACCAAACAAGCCTTTTCCTCTCCTCTTTCCTCTTTGTCTAATAAACCCAAAATAAAGTTTCTAAGCTTATTTCCTCCTCCTCCTCCTCCTCCTCCTAGTTCCTCTTATTGTTATTGTTATTGTTACTTTGACAAGTATTTACCGTGTAAGCACCTGCTGACTTCCTTTCACGTTTTCAGCATTGTCATTCTCTCCAAGAACAAAGTCACAGGCCTCACAGTGGAATAGTCCGTCTGATGGATTGACGAGTGACAGAACCTCGAGTGTTGAGAACTGCTTTTCGCAGTTTGAACAGATGTAGCCTTTGTTTTCTGATTCCTTTATTTATCAGACAATAAACTTAAGATCTTCAATATTTTTGTATATGTATATGCACAAGTACATTTTTATCTAACTTCATTTAATTTATTACACACACATATATACCAGCAACTTACTGTCCTGAGGTTGTCTCTCACAGTAGTTTGCATTTTGTACATCTTCCACTTTACAACGTCAACAAATTCTTTGTAATCGAGATAGTAGTACGTCTTTGGAACTGGTCTCTGATCCTGCTTTCGTGCTTCCATACGAGTGGCCCTTTTTTTTTTGGTTATTGTAAGTTTTGGTAAATTAACTGTACAAATCTTACATACACTTGACAGAGTGCATTATGTATCATAATAATATAGAATAGAAAGGAAGGTGGAGCTCACATTTTTAAAAGACGATCCTCTTTGAGTTTACCACAGATTCTGTGAATATCGCGTGGAGTCATTTTTAATGTCATTACAAGATCTTCCTCTCGAACACTACAAATAACATGGTCGACATGAGTTCGAATGAACACACACACACACACACACACACAAAGAGAGAGAGAAAAGAGTGTGTGGGTTTACCCATTTGTATTTGGTGGAGCATTGTTGAGTTCGTCTAGAATGACAATGTATTTTGGATCATAGAATGCACGAGCTACTCGAGCAACAAGGCCTTTGAGGACATCCATAATAGTATTATTAACTTTTCTCGGAATAAATACAGTGTTCCTGCCCCTTCTTTTCTTATTTGATTTCTTTTAAAGTAGATGAAGAATTGTACGAAATAAAATGCAATAAAATGTAGTAGTATATATATATGTATATATGTTATGTATATAATAAATGGATGTTTGGTTCGATGATTAATTAAATGAAGTCAATTCTAAATGAGTCCTTTCTCGTATATTGTGTTGGTTGACTTCTTTAGCTTTTTGAGTGTTTTACTTTCTATATATGTATTTCTCTTTTCTTTTTTTCTTGTTCTTCTTCTTTTGGTTGTGTTCTTGTAATAAATGACCACTTCACTTCTTCATCCTTTTTATTTTTTATTTTTTGTGACCTCTGCGTATGCGTTTAAAGGCTCTTGCTTGAACACAGTCACACCATTCTCTCTTTTTTTTTTACCAAAAATGAAGGGACAATTCTGTGTAGCTTTATTCTTTTGAGCAAGGTAGATTCTATTTTTATTTTATTTTAATTTATTTTATTTTATTTTATTTTATTTTTGTCGGCTTATTGCTCCAAACATGAGTCTTCTTCAACCTTACATCAATCGTGAGTGTTTCATTTCGCCTTCGCCTTCCTCTTCCCCTTCTTTTATTTGTTCTTTGAGTGTAGTGGAATTGGGCCTTATAAATTTTCCCCTCTTCCAACTCAGGTTAACGACATTTTACTTGTAGTCAATGTACTGGTCATTACACTTGACGGTCGTGTGTTGGTGGTGAGTCATCCTGATCACATCAAAGGAAGAAATTACACGTTTTCTTCTTCTTTTTTAATAATTTAACATTTTTAAAATACATATATGAGATAATTAATTAATTAATAATTCAAAAAATCATTTGCTTCTTTTGATATGGTTATGAATTCTTCTTAATGTTTCCTTCTTTCTTTTTATTCTTCTTTTTCTTTAGGGAAAGCTGAGAGGAACTGACCAGACGGCAAACGTTGTATTGGAGAAATGTCATGAACGCGTCTTTTCTCAGGATGGTACCGAAATTGTGCCACTTGGATTGTACATGATCCGCGGCGATTGCATGTAAATGAACTTTCCCCTAATTTCCTTTCCTTTCCTTTTTTTTTGTATTTGGTATTTGATATTTTTTTGGGTCTATCGGTGAATTTAACTATTGTGAACTTAACTTGGAAGGATTTTGTATGAATTAATGGTTTTACTTACTTTTTTTTTGGATATATGAAATATAATGTAGCTGTACCATTGGAGAAATCGATGCCGAAAAGGAAGAAGAGCTTGACATCACGCAGTTCAAAGCAGATCCCTTGAGACCAACAAAGATATAAAAAAAATTGGAGAATGCCAATATCTTCTTTTTCTTAGTATTGTCTTTTGACTACTATTCCTGTTATTATTATTATTATTATTATTACTTGCATCCATTACAACAACCACAAAGAAATCAAAACGAAACAGACACGCTTAAGAATACTTGGGAATGATAGAGAGAAATAGAAATAAAGCAAGATAAGAAAGAAGAAGAAGAAAGGTCAATAGATGAGGATTGTATTTGAAAGGAAATATAGCATATTCTCCTTCATCTCCTTCTTTCTCGTACATCCTACCTCTTGATTCTTATTATTCTTCTTTAATTCTTTATTTGTAATATAACAATCTATGATTTTTTTTTGTCTGTTTCTTATTTTATTACACTATGTTATATATATATATATATCTATAAGCAAAAAATGTTCTTTTTCTTAGAGAATAATTAATGTGTAGTAAAGAACATGATAATAGAAAGAAAAAAAAACAATATTTTAAATATATGTAATGATTAGACCTATAGATTTTTTCTTTTCTTTCTTGTACATAATATATGTGTGGTTGAATAGTATGTTAATTATAATAATAATAAGTAATTATAGTATTATAATCTCATCATCAATAGCTAATTGATAGCTCAATATAAAGTACAACCAAACAAGTGAGCTGAAGTATATATATCATGCCTTGTTTTTAAATTGTATATGTATGATTAATCAAGCAAACAAAAAAATGATGTAAATTGATCACAAAATCTTCATAAATATATGTATTCATATATATATTATGTTTGAGATGCTCGCCTATAATATTCTTATAAGCGAGCATCTTTAACGTGTCAGAATAGTATATGTAATTACATATAAAACTAAAAATAAGAATAAATAAACGTCATTTAAATAAGAAAACATCATTACCAACTCCGACCGACCAAAATTATAAAAGAACTGGCTGTTAAGCAGATCACAAGAAGATGAGACTACCAGGGGTCGAACCTGGAATCTCCTGATTCGTAGTCAGACGCCTTGTCCATTGGGCCATAGTCCCTCTTGTTGTTTTACATGAAGGCATATAATAAACAAGTCATAAATACGCAATATAAAAACAGGCAAAGAAGTATAGTTAAAGAAGTATAATCAAATAGACAAAATAATATGGTAGATAAAAGATGGTTTTATTATGAATAATTGCTATTGATATTTATACTAATTATTTGAAATGTTTTTCTTGAGATCTTATTTGATATTATGGTATACATACTATAATTGAGTGAAATATAAACTCTACAATCTAGAACAGATACTACAATTGCTAATAAACCTAGCAGAGTCACATCTCAGGAATGTAACACACACCAGACACTCATATACTTTACAATGTTTCAGTGATAACTAATCATTAATCAATAGAGATCTTAAATTAGAGAACCAAATATTTATATAAACAGCTATAATCTTCTTTCTTAAATAAATAATACTCTCATAGTATTTATTATTCCCTTTCTAAATTTATTTATATATCTCAAATATAATGTCTTTTCTATAAAAATATTAATTGAATTATTGTTTTTGCTATATGAAAATGTGAGTGAAAGTCAAAGTAAATTAATTATAAAAAGAAATTTATTTGTTTTTTCTTTTTTTTAAAGCAATTAATTTGAATCCCTTCTTTTATTTAAGCTCTGACTTGCCAGCTACAACAGTTTTAAAGAGCTGTAAAATTGTAACAGGCAGTAATACATTAAAGAAATATATAAAATAATTTTGAAATTAAATCTCTAAAAAATATAAGAATTTATATCTTATATTTTACTACTTATATATCTCAGTAATAATAACATTTAAATTATATAAAGATTTATTTGATATAAAATATAATTATATTAGAAAAATATCTTATTATAATTAAGATGAACATATTAAAAGTTCAAAAAAATAAAAAAACAAAATTAATTAATTAGTATAATTAATTAGTTTTTGTTTAATACTACTTATATAGTAAAATTATATATATTTTCTAGTTGTATTATATTTAAATAGTAAACAGTAATTTATTAAAAATGTTATAAATAATTAAATTATAAGATAGATAGAATTCTGAGTTAAGAATAATAATATTTAAAAATGAAGACATATAGAAATACTTTGAAACTGTTGTATTTGACAGTCATATAATTTTTTATAAAACAAGTCCTATCAAAAACACAGCATTAATCTCAGGAGCCAATAATAAATACGGACCTGAGAGTAAAGAAGCCTTATAAAAAGAGTATAACTGTCATAGTTAGAAGACTATTGTTGTGGTGGTTGAAGTTGAAGAAGTTTTTAAGAGGAAGAATTGAAGATTTGAGATTAGAAATGAAGATTTATGAGAACTTGTGTAGGTTTTGTTTATTGAGAAAAGATTTTATATCAAAGTTTGACCAGGTTCCTACACTGAACTACTACTGCTATTTATATTATTTTGGATCAGGAAAATTATATGACTGGGGTCAGATAATCAATCCTATCTGAGCCTTAATCAGAGCAATGTAATCTTGAGATAATTAATGTATGATTAATTATATAAATGTATGTAGTCCCAATAAAGTATTAACATTGAAAGTAAATGTGTTTATGAGTTATAATTATACTTATAATAATCCACTGATGTATCTCATATTATGGTGATATCATCATATGAAATATAATCACTATCATGCATGCTAAACCTGTGTGTTAAATAATAAAGTAATCGGTAGACACCTTTGACTAGAATAGCTGAGACCTTATATTATTTCCTTCAGACATATTCTCAATTACAGCAGTAGTCAATACTCATTTACAACAACTATCTTAACCAATACCAACTTTCTTTTTTTCTCTTTCAATAAAACCACTATACAAAGTCTCACTTTATTTCTTTGTCTTTTCTTTAAAATTAAACCCAAATATAACAGAGACTATATATAAGTTTTTTTATTTATAAATAAAAAGTATCTCTTTTTATAAGAGAACATTATTATAAATAAGTATTGACTACTGTTATAATTGAGAATAAGTCTGAAGAAAATAATATAAGTTATCAGCTATTCTAGTCAAAGGTGTCTACTGATTACTTTATTATTTAATGCACAGATTTAGCATATAAAATAGTACTTATATATCATATTATGATATTAGTATAATATGAAATATATCAATGAATTATTATAAGTATAATTATAACTTATAAAAATATTTACTCTTTATGTTAATACTTTGTTGAGATCATACACATTTATATAATTAATTCTACATTAATTATCCAAATATCACATTGTTTTGATTAAGACTCAGATAGGATTGATTACCTGACCCTAGTCATATAATTTTCTTGATCCAAAATAATATAAATAGTAGTAGTAGTTCAGTGTAAAAATCTGATCAAATTTTGATATAACTAATTTCTTTAGAAAACAAATTCTATATAAGTTTTCACATATCTTTATCCTTGTAATATACACACTACAATTGAGTGAAAAATAGACTTACAACCAAATACTCATTCCTTCTTGCTAATGAATCTGACAAGTTAATAATCTCTGGAACTGTTATATACTAGACACATGTATACTACACACTCATATAGTGTAAAACAGCTATTATACAACAGAGATTTGAATTACAGGAATTTTAATAGTAGCAGATATAAATAATATTATTTTTATCTCTTTAATAAATAACACTCTCACAGTATCTACTTTTCCTATTATTGAGATACTAACACATAAACAATACTGAATACCTCAGTTCTCATTTCAAATATTCAATTCTTCTTAAAAGTTTCTTAAAAACTTCAACTACCACAATAAACATAATTTACTCTTATTATTATATCTTAGTTTCTTATGGTTTTCTTTCTTTATTATATTTGATTATTAAAATATATTTACTGCTTAACTAGTATTGATATTACAAATAGAATATCAAATCATAAATTATATTTTTTTAGTTCTTAGTTCTTTTTTTTATATTAAAACTTTAAAATTTCTAACTAAATTTGCTCTATATAGCTCTGATATATTTTATTTGACAGTGTGATATAATTATTTTATTTACAATACTAACTGTAATAATTATTGGTCTAATTACTTAATTATATATATATATATATATATATTATATACTAACAAGATAATACTTACTAAGCTATTCTAATATGAATATGTTCTTATATATAATAAATCTAACAATCAAATATTCAAATCATCACAATAATTGTTAAAATATTTGTTTTGCAAATTTTATAGTGGAGGCTATTTAGTGAGCATTTGAAACCAAAAGTTAGAGATTCCCTGATTTTTGACTTCAAATGCTTACTAAATGTCTAGTAAAAATTGAGCTTATTTTTCTTATTTTAAAACAAAATGTATGATAGCCATATGGTATTTCAGGTACGAAACAATAAAAAAAATAAAATATTTGATAATAGAGACGTATAGAAATACTTTGAGACTGTATATAAGTTGTCTTTATTCATAAATAAAAAGTGTCCCTTTTTATAAGAAAACACAATCTGCTCTTGTCATTACGTCTTAGTTTCTTAAGGCTTTCTTCCTTTACTATATTTGGTTATTAGAGTGTATTTACTGCTTAACTAGTGTCAGTGTTACAATTATGACATCAAGTCCTAAATCATACTTCTTTAGCTCTTAGCTATTCTTTTCTCTTTTATACTAGAGCTTTAGGACTTCCTACTAAATTAGCTCCATATCAATCTGACACAGTTTACCTGGCAGTATGATATAATTATCTTAACAATCTTTAAGATATTATCTACAGTACTAACTGTAATAATTATTGAGCTGATTACTTAATCGTTTATATATATTTTATACTGACAAGATGATAGCTACTACGCTATCCCAATATGAATATGTTCTTATATGTGATAAATCCAACATCCGAGTGTCTGGATCACCACAAGCCAGTAGTCTATTCTTTATACTTATTTAATAAAATAAGCCTTGGAAAGTCAAGTTTATTAAAGTCTATTTTCTCTAAATTTCTTAGTATCAATGTTTTCAACTTATAGTATTCATAACTGTGTCTGAGTTTTATTCTTATCTTTGATTGAGTTTTACAAATAATTATTTTTTTAATTACTTTAAAATTATCATAACTCAACACCTTTATTAACTAAGTTCAAAATGAACTTGTATTAATTTTTATTTCTTTTTAAACTTTTAATCTGCTTACACAAAGTATCTAAAACATCTGTAATAATATGCTTAAATATAATATAATAAGTTCATATAAATTAAATATTAGATTTTATTAATATAATTTTAATTTTTTTAATAATAATATTTTATATATTGGTAAATAGTGAATTATAGTTAATATGAATAATAATATACTAAAATTAAAATATTTTGAGATTTTAGATTAATGAAA